GGCTGGAGGGGAAGAGTGGAGGAGGTCATTCAGTGAACAAGTTATGGGTCATTAGTACTGTGTCCCGTTGACTTTTTTTTTGTGTGTGGTACTGGGGTTTGAACTCAGGGCCTACACCTTGAGCTACTCCACCAGCCCTTTTCTGCAATGGGTTTTTTTGAGATAAGGTCTCGTAAATTATTTGCCCAGGCTGTCTTCAAACCACGATCCTCCTGATCTTTGCTTCCTGAATAGCTAGAATTGCAGGCATGAGCCACCAGCACCGAGCCAGCTGACATTTTTCCAACTGCTATCTAGCCTTGCTGTTGGTATTTTATAGAAACTTGTCCTAGCTTCTGTAATGGCTCAATAAGCCCTCTTATTTCAGCAATCCCTCAGTCTCAAGAGTTTGATTTAGCAATTGTCTATGACTATCAGCACACTTATTATCATGAGAACTCCAAGGAGACTGAGATAAACTGAAGCACAAAGTGACACTGTCTGTGAAACAAAGTCTATGAGTCTGTGGAACAAAGGGCAAACCTAAATAAACCTTCTAGCTTCACTTGCTTTTAGTTGATTTTAAACATCATTAATTTTGAATAATTTATTATCGTCTCCCTCTAGCTTTGCTGTAGATACCTCCTCTGTGATAACTGTTATGATAACAGTTGCCCAGGTCACTTTTCAGGAACTTAAAGGCCACTTTTGTCAAAAGACTGACTCTTCACTTGGACCTGCACAAGTGTCTGATAGGTGAGTAAAGCAGGGTAAAAAGGCTTGACATCTCTGCCTTCGTATTGTATGTCTCTTTTGCTAACTGTACCATTGGGTCAGATTGTTTCTGCTCACTTCTGCACATAGAGATGTTAGTCATTTAGGAAATGTTTATCTAGAACTGGTAGTACAAGATTGATTTGTTCTAAATTTATCTGATTTCTCTCTTCCCTTTTTAAGGCTGAAGATATCAAAATAAAAATAAGACATTTGCAAGATTTATAGGGGTATCATGATCAACAGACTATCAACCAACCAGATTTTGCAACAACCCCTTTCAGACCACCAGAGCTGGAAGTCCCCAGTTATCAATCTTTTCCTAACCTAACCCCTCCTGCCCCTTTGCCTAAGGATAAAGGGGGCTTGAAACATATGCTGAATTAAGATTGTCATTTCCAGACATTAGTCCACCATCTTTTCATTTTGTTGGCATTCTGAATAATCTTCTTTCTTGCCACAACAACTTGTCTAAATTCACTGGACCCTTTTTTTGGAGAAGTGAAAAATAAGCATACTTGGATTTAATACCTATAGCCAGAAATACTTAAATTTTTAAAATAAATTTTGCTATTCTTAAACCACTTTCCTTTTTACTAGAAGTATTTATTTATAAGAAGAAAGAAACAAGGAATATTTCTGGATCTCTTATGCCTCTTATCTAAATTTTATTTTATAGATGCTCCTAATATAGCAGATACTTAGAAACTGCTTTTGCTAAAGGCAGTGACTTTTCACTTGGGCCTGCAAATATTCTGTCTCCATCTCACATCTATCTTTGCTCTGAGCCATTTTTTCCTGAAGTCACCTTGCAGCCACCTTGGATACCAGGAAGGACAGGACTAATGGGTAAATCTTGTGACAGGAGCCGAAGCTTACCCCCAGGCAACAATAACCTCCTCATTATGACAAGGCTCTGCCTGACTAATCCTGAGATAACCACACTTGTTTAATTATACATACCTTTTGGCCCTGCCCCAATCATTCCCCTATTTAAAGGTAAAGCTCATTCTAGACTCCAAAGATGAGCTGAGGTGCTTACTTTGCCTATTCCTGTGGTATGCCCATGCCATGTAATCTCTCTCTGCCCTCACCACTAGTCTCTTTATTTGGCATATTGGGGTGAGTAGCTAGACCTGACATGTTGGAACCCCTGGAGTTGGGCTGTGACAAAGAACTCTGATTACACTAAAGACATTACACCTGAACTGCTCAACCAAACTGCCACAGTTCTCACCTTCCATGCATCATACCTACCCTTGTGTGGTTTGTTTTTTTTTTTGGGGGAGGAGGGGGGTTGGGTTTTCTTAGAAGTCCTGGAATTTGAACTTGCTAGACAAGTGCTCTACCACTTGAGCTACACCCCCAACCCTTTTTGCTTTTAGGTTATTTTTCAAGTAGGGTCTTGTGCTTTTTGCTTAAAACACAATCCTCCTACTTATGCCTCCAATATAGCTGAGATTAGACACATATCACCATCCTTGCTTTGTTTAATGAGATGGGTCTCTCTCACTTTTGCCCATGCTGACCTGAAACTGCAATCTTCCTGATCTCCTCCCCAATAACTGGGATTACAGGTGCAAACCACTGTGCAGGGGGAAGGGAATTATCTACCCTTCATGAAGAATCATACAAATTGCTTTCTGTGTATTTAGAGAGTCTTGATGAATTTGAATACAAATATTAACCATAGGTATCTTTCCTGAGGAAGACACACAAGTATATAGATGAAATTAGGCAGTAAGGAACTTCTGACCCCTCCAAAATATAAGGAGAAGGGTAACAGCAACTTTCTTGAGTGGCCTTTGCACTCAATGTCATGGGAGGATACATAGTTCACCAGGCACACAAGCAAAAGAAGAATTTCCAGGAGTAGCATGTAGAGAGGCATGACAGAGTACATGAAATCTTGGAAATTTCAGTAAGTTGTCTAATGTGGACAATGTGTGGTATTAGAAGGTAGTTTTTTTGTTTTGCAGTACTGGCATTTGAACTCAGGGCCTTAAGCTAGCTAGGTAGGTGCTGTACTGCTTCAACTTTCAGCCCAAAGATAGTTTCCAAAAAATATAAAATCATGGCTCACACATAGACATGAAAATAAAATATTAAAGACTCTATTTCTTATCTGGAAGATTTGATAAGCACTAGTTCAAAGATTAAGACAGAAAAACAAATTTATAGATGAGGAATATTGAAATTAATATGGAAGTAGAGGTGGAATGAATGTGGAATTTAAATGAACATGGAAACAGATGCTTCTTCCACAGTAGCGGGGTGGGAAGTCAATTAAACTTCTATGGGACAGAATCTGCATGTATACAGACCATTATTTTGAATTTCTATCACTTATCTACCACCTACAGAGTTGTTCAAAAATAGTTCTCATAAAAACCAGAAGACAATTGGAAGGGTGAATGCCTTGCACAGTTTTTCATTGAAGTACACTTTCCCCCTTCAATGGCAGTAAGACAAAAGTGGTTAAATATCCATATAAGGGCCATATCAAACTGGGTCACAAATAACACACAAAGAAGTTGGAACTTCTTTGTTCATTCTAATCTTTGAGCAAAGGCAGTTCTTGAAGGGTCAAGCTGGAGAATGCCAGGATCCCCTTTGTTGGAGAGGCATGGCAGGGTAATAGATGAAATGTGGCTGAAATGGTACAAGAATGGAGGCAAGAATAAAATTTAGGAGGCTGATGCAGTAGATCTGTCAAAGTCTGAGGGAGCTGGGTGCTGGTGGCTCATGCCTGCAATCCTAGTTACTTGGGGGCACTGAGATCAGGAGGATTGTGGTTCCAAGTCAGTCCAGGCAAAAGTTTGAGACCCCATCTCAACCGGATAAAAGAAACTAGGCATGGTGGTATACACCCGTCATCCCAGCTACAGTGGGAAGCATAACATAGTGAAACTGGAATTGTCTTGTGAGCTTGGTCTGCTGCGTTGGCCAGGTCACAGCCCTTTTAGCACAGTGGCAAAGGGATTCCTGATACACCAAATTCTTTGCCTTATGAACACAAAGAATGCAGTTCACAGACAAGGGAGGGTAAGTGTATACACAAGTTTATTAAGGGAAAGGAGAACTCTCCCACGTGAGATAGGGAAGGGTCCTGAACAGGTTGCCAGTGAAGTGACATGGTCCAAGGTATTTATCCTTTTACTCCAAAGCATTGCTCAACCTCTATGCTAATTAGACATGTTTAAAGGAGCATTCTGGTTGGTTGTGCCTTCTAAACCATGGTGATTTGAAATTCCTACTAGTCCTCATTCTGGTCTGTTCTATTTTTCCTTCTTCCCACCTTCTATGGTCACAGAGAGGTCATGATGGCATTTTCCAGGAGCCCTTCCGTCTTAGCTATACTAATTTTAGCAACTGCCTAGCCTACTTGCTCAATAGGAGGATAGGTCCAGGCTGGCCTGGGCAAAAAGTAAGACCCTATCTTCAAACTAAGCAGAACAAAAAGGACTAGAGATGTGGCTCAAGCAGTAGAGCACTTGTCTAGCAAGCACAAAGCTATGAGTTCAAACCCCAGTACCACCACCAAAAGAAAAAAAAAGTGAGGGCCCGAACCACAGTAATGGCAAAGGAGAAGGAAGACTGGCAACTGAGTAATACAGAAAATAGCATCAAACAGATCTAGCGAATGTGCATGTGAGGGATGAAGTGGAAAAAAGCGTCTGATAGCTACTACTTTTCTGGTTTAAACACTTGGGTGGATGATGGTGTTTCCACCAACACTAGAGAAGTAGCAACCTTGCTAGGAAAGACACGCTAAGGTTTGCACCTGTGGGTTGAGGTGCCTGGAAGGTAGCGCCAGGAGACTAGGAATGCAAGTAAAAGCCCAATGGTAAAGAGTGCTCTTTGCAATCAGCCAAGGTACAAGGAGCAACAGCTGGGAGAACTTGTGAAGTCTTCCGGGAAGTTCCGGCCTTATGGAAGGTGCCATGGAAGCCCATGGGGTACCCCAACATAAACCGACACAATGAAGTCCCTAACAAGGCCACAGCCTTGGTGCAGCGCTTTGACGGGTGCTCTGGGAACCAGCAAGGCTCGCAGCCTTCTACCCGTTGGGCCCAAAACACGCACATCCGGTGGGGCTTGGCAGGCCCACTTCCGCTTCCGCTTCCGGCCCGGGGGCGGGACGGAGCAAAGCAGGACCAGGAGCCGTGGGCGCCTGTAGACTGGAGTAGGCTTCGCGTGGCGGGTGGGCTCCTGCGAGTGGGCAGAGGTGGGCCACCGCGGGGCCCATGCGGCCACCTCCTGGCCCTGCGACGGCCCCGGGGCGCGAAGGCGACACTCGAGGCCCGAGGAAGCGAGGCCGGAGGCTGGCGCCAGGGCCCGGCGAGGTGGGAGGTTGCGGCCCTGAGGTTAGGGGGCGCGAGGAGAGCAGGCACAAGAGGAGAATGGTGGCCTGGATGTCTGGGAAAGAAGAGGTGGAAAGTGACAGGTTGGGTGAAGTATCTCGGGCTGGGAGGACCACGAGGCGGCGAGCAGAGGGGCTGGGGGGCCGAGGGGACCTGGCAGACTGTCGCAGCATAGAAGCAGTGAAGGAGGCAGAGCTCCCCGTGCAACCCGGAAGACACAGTAAGGAAGTTCTAGCTTTTGCACTTCAGCCTGCCCCATCGTTGTTTTAATGCTAGTGTTTAATTTGAATCTGTGTGGTCTTTTTTGATGCAAATGATTGACCTGGGTGGAAAGGATGTTCTTAAAAGGTCTTTGCTCATTTAGGAGCCCTTGGTTACAATTACTATAGAAGTGGCCGGGCATGGTGGTACATGCTTATAATCTTAGCACTGGGGAAGCAGAAACAGGAGGATCATGAGTTCAGTTAGCCAGAGATACTTAGTAAAACCCTGTCTCACAAAAAGAAAAATTACCATATAAGGAATTCCTATTAGTAGTCCATTTCAATTGGTATGAGATGATGATGCTAAGGATTTTTCAGCCATCTTAGAATTTACACGGGTTTATATGTAGTTCGTTAATACAAATTATGTCTTATCTCCAAACAGCTTTTTGGGGAAATAAAAATAGATGGCTTTTTTTTTAAGTGGTACTGTTTTTTCCTCCCCAGTATAAAATGTTTTCTGATATGCTTTGTTTTACTCAGGCAAGGAAAAAGGAAAAGTTACTGAAGCCTCAAGTGATGATCCACAGCCAGGGATTGACCTGGTAAGAAAGGAACCATTAAACAGTTCGGAATCTTCACAAACTGTGGAGTGCAGTGAATTTCAAAGTGTGCCTTTCTTGCAGTCTTTGGATAAGGAAGGTTTGGTAGAAGGTATTAAAAGAAGATTTCGAGTTAAAAAAAAAAGTTCAGAAAGCCCACCTCTCAAAATAACTGAAAATGAGGCAAAACAAAACATCAAGCCTGAATCCCAAGATGAACTGTACAAGAATACTCCAAAATATTCTTGTAACAGCTTGTCACCTGGAATAGAAAATAATTCCATTTTTAAATTGCATGGTTGCAATTGTTTGCCCCATTCTAAGGTTTGTAATAATGAAAACAACCTAGCACTTAAATTTGACAGTAGATGTATACATATAGCAAAAAATTCCTTGAAGTTAAAGAAAGAAAACCTTAGGAGTCTTGCAGAGAAGAATGAAACAGATGGTATTCCTAAGCTCTTACAAAGTGAAGAAAACTTAATAGGAGCAAAAAAGCTACTGCTTGAAGAAAGTGATCCATACCAAAGTAAAAATAATGGCTTACTTTCCTGCCTTCAAAGTGAAAAAAATAAATATTCAACAGAAGAGAGCAATTTTGGAAGAAAACCCAGGAAAAAGATGAAGTTGTCTGAAAAAAGAGAAGAAATAGCTATTGCAACTAACTTCTCTAATGTGCATAGTAAGTCTGAGTTGGCTTTGCAGGAAAGCCAACTGGATATAGAGAGGAAAGAAGTCGAGACTGTAGAGACTAAAAACAAGCCTTTAAAAGTTTTGAGAAAAGTAAATCATAATCCGCTTTCTCCAGTGGATCATGTATTAAGACTTCCAGAAACAGCAGAAGAAAAAGCAAGTCCTGGACATCATGTAGCTGCTGTGTTTCAGGAAACTCTTGAGCCACATTTGAAAGATGAAACAAAGAATGCTTCAGAGTCCTTAGGATGTAAAAGTATGGAACCAATGACAAGCTCTACAGTGAAGTCACCTAGGGGTAGCCATCATATTGAAAAGAGATCTTCATGGGAAGATCTGAGAATTGACACTGAAGAATCAAAGGTAAGCTGTCGCAGAACAATACCAATATCTGGCAAACGAGTTTGGCCTTGTTATTCTTGTGCTAGAACATCTGCCTGGTGTTGGAAAAAGACTTCCTTGCCAGACTCAAATTACTTGCTTCCTATGTCTGTGGAAAATGTTAGGCAAGATGATTTTCTTACACACCAAACAAACCAGACTCTCTTCCCTGATTCGAAATTATTGTTACAAAATTCCTCAACAGAAAAGAATACTGAATCCTCAAGTAAAGAAAATTGTGACTCTAATTTAAATTGTTTGTCTTTAGTTTCTGGAGTAGATCCTACTTTAGTTATAAAAGAACATGTAATTAGTGAGACAAAGTCAGAGGAACCCAGTGGAAGTGGGTCAGAGGTAGTTTCTAATACTACCGGAGACATTCAGTTAACTAATGTGACTCAAAGCTTAACAGGAAGTAAGAAAAAGGAGAGAGGGAATTTAACAAAACTTAATTTGTCTATGACTTCCCAAGAGGGCCAGGAAGCAGATAACTCTACTATAAAAACTATTCATCGAAAAGCCTGCAGTGCTAAGCAAACACTTGTGATTCCAGACTTGGTTAAAATTTTGAACACAGGACGGCTGACCAATTTTAAAATTCCTTTACTGAAGAATAAGACAGGTAAAAGAAAGGTAAATGCTAAGACATCAGAGAGAGAAGCTTACAGTCCCCTAGAACTTCTTGACAATTTATCTGGAACAGAGACAAGACCGAATAGGAATAAAGAAAATGTCTCCACAGCAACTTCAGGACCTCAGTCTTTGAGCATACGAAATAATATGACTCCAGGGCAAGCTTTTTCTGACTTGTTCTACAGTAAGAATTATTGTAGCATCTCTCCAAGCTTTACAAAACAAGGTGATGATAATAAACCATCTAATCCCATCTCTGAAGCAGGCAATATTGTTTCTAATAAGGAACCTGTTTCTCTCACAATTGAAAATAATACTTTTTCTTGTGATCCTGGGTGTATAGAGGAAAATTCCTTCTGCTCTAAGAAACAAAAACCATTCAAGCCAATTTCCTCTGAAGTTAGTGGTAGAAAAATGACTAAGAGAATTTCAGAAATCAAAGTGGGGTTTCCAGATATTCTTAAAGCATATGAAGATGATGTCCTCTTAATTGATGTAATTCAAGATGACCCAGAGCTATTTGGAGTCTCCAGTGAAGGGGATCTCTCGTTTGCTTCAGAGGTTCCCAGGATAGGCCAGGAGCCCAATGTTGCTGAAGAGCACCAGTCAGCAGACTCTAAGTATGTGGAACTTCCAGAAAGAAAGCCTGGTGATTTGAGGTATGTATACTCAAGTGTGCCTTTTGATGGAAATTACTGTTGGGGTTTCAAAAGCATTCTCTGCTCATAGGTACCATTGATTTATCCCATCATCGTCGGAGTGCCATTTTCAACTGAGTTAGTAAGTATAATATAACATATTACTGATATGTAGAAATGGCATTATGCTAAAACTTAGAGACAAAGGGATATAAATCTATAAGTATAAATATATGTAAAATTTATGTAGATCTATATCTTGGAAGATAGAGTGGATTAACTTTCAAAATCTAAAAGAATGGTTTATAAAGTAGCTTTTCAAATTAGAGATTGCTTCTTTCAAGCATCAGTTAAGTTTCTTTTCATATGTTCTTAATTATAAATATGCAGATAAACTTTTAACCAGGTTACTTAATGAAGATTGCCACTATATATTTTAACCCATTTTCTGTAACTTCCTTGTTAGATTAAAAAATTCATATTTCAGGGAACTGAGAAGCCTTGGAAAATTTTAATCAAAGTAATTAAGACTTGAAAGTAGAATCAAAAGTTAATTTTCAGAGAGAAAACAGGATAAATGTTTTTCATGGTTTTTCTTTTAAGGTGATTGTTTTAAATGATTTGCCTCAAAATAAGACTTCTTTGCCTAAGACACTTTTACTAAGCCAGTAGTAAATTCCCTGCTTAGGTTCTTAATCTATTCTGGTTGGTGCAAGCTTTATTTAACATTATATTTTGCTCAACTTTTACAATTCTTCAAGCTCTTACTATGTTATAATAATTGAATACTGGAATGTTTTGAGAATAGATTCAAAAGGAAACATGAAAACATTTTCCACTAAGAGTCAATGGTACAAGATTTAAATTTCTGGAATATTTATAAGTTTTTAGTTATCTTTGAAATATCATGCTCTTAAAATAGCCTTAGTGCTTCAAAACCTTGTAGTTTATCATCAAATAGAATGTTTTCTCTATGCCAAGTGGAAGACCAAGAGCTTCATTTTTAACTGTATTAAGATAGGATGCTAATCTGTCCATGCTGAAGATGGGAAAAATGAAAATGATAGGTTGTCACTTGCCCAAGGTAACTAGTGGCAAAGAGCTCTATCTTTATAGTGTGACTTAGGTTTTTGAATCCTCTCATTGCCACTGAATTGCTATGAAACCTTTTTAGGCAAAATTGTTCTGTGAAAAGAGAAAGTATTTCCCCCAGGGTTGTGAGGAGTAAATCAAAGAATAGATGGAAAGAGTTTTAGCATAGCACTGGAATAGCACTAGCATAACCAACCCAAGTAAGGGCTTGGGTTGGTTAGCTTTTTTATTGCTGTAACAAATACCCGAGGAAAAAATGCTTAAAGAAGAATTTATTTGGACTCAGTTTCAAAGGTTTCAGTCCAAGGTCAGCTGGATCCATTGCTTTGGACCTGAGGCAAGGCAGAATATCATGGTGGCAGAGAAGGCTGCTCACTTTGTAATGGCCAAGAAGCAGAGAGAGTGTGAAAGGAAAGGGCCCAGGACAAAATACAGTTGGCAAGGACACACCTTCAGTGGTCTGTTTCCTCCAACCAGGAGCCACTTCCTAGTTTTCCACCACTTCCCAATCAATAATGCCATCAGTTTATCAGGGGATTAATACATTCATTAGGTCAGAGCTCTCATGATCCAATCGTCTCTCAATTAGATCCACCAGCTGAGGTCCAAGCCTTCAAACCACGAGCCTTTCAGGGGACACTTCATATCCAAACTATAACAGGGCTCAATAAAAGGTAGTATTGAGGCTTGGAGCGTGGCTCAAGTGATAGTGCATCTGCCTAGAGCACCTGCCTAGCAAGCATGAGGCTGTGAGTACCACCAAATAAAGTTATTAAAGGTTTCTAAGGAAAAAAAAAACCTGCTATACCATGTTTCCTTTGAGTAATACAAAGGAAAATTTAAACAAATCCTCCATTTAAGACCGAACACCTTTGATGGCTAGTAAGATGTTAATAGTGAGACACAGCCAAAAAAAAAATGTTGTGAACTAAAGTGCAGGAAGATTTGGTTTGATTTTGCTTTTGCATTTCTGGGGATCAAACCCAGGGCCTTGCACATGCTAGGCAAAGCACTGCCACTGAGCCAGAGCTACAACACCCTCCCCCCGGCCTTCAAGTTTTTACTTCAGATGATTTTTATTATCTCTGAACTTCATTCATTTTCACTTGAAAAGCACCAATTACACTTTCTTGGGTTTTCTTTGCCTTTCATATCTGCTTTTAAAGTTTTACTTTTTAAATTTGAGATTTCCTTGGTATTTTAATGTTTTTATTTTTGTTCTGCCCTGGAGATACCAGTTTTACACTCATCCTTGTGCCAAGCCAAACTTGCTATAGCTAGAAGGAGCTAATGTGTTTTTTTAAAAAACATGTAAACTGAAGTACTAAGAATAGTAGGAATGAAAAAGGGGGATGAAAAGGCAACCTGGAAAAGAAAAATTTGTATTGATTCTTGAAGTTTGGATTGCTTTACAAAGATGAACAAAGGGGAAGAAGGGAAGAAGTTTGGGGGGAATAATGAGGGATTTGTGGGCAAAAGGGTTAGGGTAGATATGAAGATGATTGTGTGGTTGTGTAAGGAAAGGTGAAGGCTTCCTGATACCTCAGGCAGAGGAAGGAACCTTTGCATGTTCCCAGGTCAATGCAGGCTACTGTAGTTATGCCATTGACTTCATGGTAGTGTTATTTATGTCCCTCTCGCCCACTCATCTGTTAAGCTTTTTGAGAGTAAAAACTGTCCATGTTTTATTTATCTTTGCAATTCCAGACCCTTATATGTTGGAGAGGAGAGAATTAAACTTTCAATTCTTACTTGAGAATATTGCAGGTTGTTTCTCAAGCATCTATTTGGTGTATATGTTAGGCATGAAAATTTGAAGTATATACATGCAGCATCAGTGTTGTTGGTGAGTGAATCACTTACACTATCTTCACAACTTGGATTTAGAACCGTAAGGAGCCATTTTAGATTCTAGAGCTGGTTAATGAACACAAACTTCTAGAAATGTACCAGAAATGTCTGGTACCAGTGCATAGACAATATGTCTACCACTTTTGCCCAGGCATTGAGTTCCCTTAGACCTATTGGTCTGGCCTGGGCAAATTATTTTTATCTCAGTTAATCAACCTCATCCACTTTCTCAGCAACTTGTTTAATCCCAGGTTGTTCCCCAAGAGGTTGACCTTCTATGGTGGAGTAGTTTTACCACTAGGTTTACTGTATCAAACAACCCAAAAAACAAAGACAGATTTCCACCAAAAGTAAGTCATTTTCTTTCTCTCCCTTATATATTGAGTCTCCTTGCCTGTCTTTTCTCCTTTTCCATTAAATATCTGATGTACTCTGATGCACATTTTAACACATAATTATAATAACTGATATTTAGTGTCCACCCTGAACTAGATAAGTTATTTTATTTAGCACAATTCTGATGTTGAGATTTTCCCTATTTTTATAATTCAATCAAAGTGATTAACTCTCCAAAGTACAGACAGTGAGTGTCAGAGCACGCCTGAATGCTGGGCAACCTGCTCCAAAGTCTGTGCCCCTTCTAAAACAGCATGCTAGAAGAGTAGTGCTCCTTATGTGACTTTAATTCTACTACTATACAAACCACCACAGAACATTATTTTACTTTCAGTTCCTTTCTCTCCCAACATTTCCTCCTTTTTAAAGTACCAAGTGAGATAGTATGAAGAACCATTGTTCTGATTTTCACTTTTTTTAGTCAGGCCACATAAACCATTATTTGTCTCTTAGAATAAACAGTATTACATTTAATTGAGTAATGGTTTGTATTAGAAGATCTAGCACTGCACAGCATGGCCTCAAGCTAGGAAACCTCTGGCCTACTCAATTGAATACTGTTATATTTCTGTAGTCTGCAGAATAATTATTCTAGTAAGCGTTCTAGTAATGTCTACTACTTAGAAGTAGTAGACAATAACATTCTCAGTTTTTTTCTTGGACAAAATTTTCAAATTCTTTCTGCTAGTAATTATTCTAAAGCAGTCATCTTCAAACTTTTTGTCAGTTACCCAGAGTAATGGATCTTGTGCTTTACATTGTAATCCAGTACATACTTACAAATACATGAAATAGTAACATCACAAAAATAGTATTTTCCTTATAAGTGATATAATCTCATTTTGTATTTTATTCTTTAAAAAAAAATTCCTGGTTGGGATTACCCAGTTCAAATGATGCTATGGTAGAAGGTAAACTTGTTGTAATCGGTGTAGTTCTTTCGAGTTGACTTAAACCTCTTTCTCATTTTACTGAGATCTTCTGTTTCTGTAGCTTCATTCAAGATTATATTTGTGGTTTTTTTCTCCTTTTTTTTTTTAATGTTACTGTGATTGGAACTCTGGGCCTTGCACTTAGTAGACAGGCACTCTACTACCTGAATACTTCCCCCAGCCCTTTTTGCTTTAATTATTTTTAGACTAGGGCCTCTGTTTATGCCCAGCTGGCCTGGACCATGATCCTGTTTATGCTCCCAGTATACCTAGGATGACAGGCACATGCCACTATTCCCTGCTTTTATTGGTTGAGATGGGGGTCTCATGAATTTTTTGCCCAGAGTGGACTCAAATTTTGATCCTCCAAATTTCTACCTCCTGACCAACTGGGATTACAGGTATGAGCCACCAACCCTGGCTTCCTTTTTTCCTTCCACCTTTTATTCCCTTTTTCATCCACCATTGCAAGCTATAACTTTTACCCCACAATATCATACAATCCAAAATTGTGAAATATTTCTGTAGATTACCATTTTGCTCACTTTATTTTTTTTAATTAAGGTGAATTTAACTCCTTCATGTGTCTGAAATTCAAAACCAAACTACATATAAGAATACCATGTACAATTCTATCTTCCTTATGGTAGCTATTCATAGTAAAGTTTCTCACTGCTGTCAAGCACCATTGACTCATGCCTGTAATCCTAGCTAATTGAGAGGCTGCAGTCAGTATTGAGATTTGAGGCCAGCCCGGGCAAATAGTTCACAAGTCCCCATCTCCAACATAACCATAGCAAAGTGGACTGGAGGCATGGCTCAAGTAAAAGAGTGCCTGCTTTGCAAGCACAAAATCCTGAGTTCAAACCTCAGTCCCACCACAAAAGTTTAAAAAAGTTTCTCACACCTGTCAACAATATTATAAATATTAACTTAATACTTCAAAATTAAAGCAGTATACTTGCTATGTCTGTTCATGAATAGAACTCTCAGGATAATTACATGCACTTAATTCTCTCTAAAATCATGTAATCCTCATTCTGTTACACCTTAATATCTTCTTCATTTCCACTACTACTATCTTAATTATCTTTTTTGATTATTATAATAAATTCCTGATTAATCTTCCTGAACTTTCTCAATGTATCCTTTGCCATAGTGATATTCTGAAATAGAAATTGGTCTGCTATTGACTTTATAGTTGCTTCACTGGCTGTCATCCACCTTGAGAATAGTCTGATTGCAAGTGCTGTACCATTTGAGCCATCACTCCAGCCCTTGACATGACTTTTTTTTTTCTGTAATAGGGATTGAAATTAACTTTAATAAGCAGATGTTCTACCACTTGAGTCATGCCTCCAGCCCTCTTTGCTCTGGTTTTGTTAAAGATAGGATCTCACTTTTTGTTCAGGTCGGCCTAGACCACAGTCCTATTTTACACCTGTCTCTGGAATGACAGGTGCATGCCACCATTCCCAGATTTTTTTTTTCCCTTAAGATGGGGGTCTCACAAACTTTTGTGCCCAGGCTGGCCTGGGATTGCCATCTTCCCAGTCTCAACCTCCCATGTACCATGGGATGATAGGCACATTCCAGCCTGCTCAGATATTGGTTGAGATGGGATCTTGTTAACTTTTTGCCTGGAATAGCCTTGAACCACAGTTGTCCCAATCTCAGCTTCCCAAGTAGCTAGGATTATAGACATAAGTCACCAGTGCCTGGCTTTACATGTCTTTTTAAGGCTGTTGGTAGGTAGGCCTACTCCCTCTTTGACAACTATGGTATGAAGAGAATAAAGTCAGGTGAAAAGCTGAAGAAATATAAACACAGCAAGCAATTCTTTGTCCATAATGCACAATATACTTTGATCCTTTTGCACTTTTATTTGAAAGTCCTTTTCTTATTCAGTTATCAAATCACATCTGTGCTGTTATTCTAGCACATTGTTCCAATTGTTTTCTTGGCACATATGTTATGTCCACCTATATTTGAACCTTAGCCTATACCAGTAATTCCCTGAAAGGAGATTATCTTCATTTGGGTATCCCCCTATGTAAGATGCTGGGTATGTGCAGAATTAGACACAAAGGATCCTTGTCCTCAAAGAGTTTTTAGTATATTAAAGAAGGCAAATAATTAAGCACTATAATAAGATATGATAGAGGAAGTGCAAGATGTTAAAGGCTTCCTGGAGAAAGTACCATTTAAGAACACTACTAAAAGATGAGTAAGAATTAGCCAATAGGTGAAAAAAGTGAGAAACTGAAATAAGTGTTTAAATGTCAAGAAATAAAGCTATAGAATGTGCAGAAGCTCAATCTCAAGGAGTTTGAAAGTAAAATGACTATACGCTATATCTTCTGAATTCCAAAACTTTGGAGCAGGAAATGAGGAGCTATTAATATAGCAGGCAACAAACATAAACAGACCATCCTAGGCAAGCAGGAATTTATAAGTTTGAAATTGATCCTAAGCATATAGGAATTCACTGAAATATTTTCAAGTAGAGAGAATTTGCTTAGATTTACATCTTGAAATTATAGCTCTGGTATAGGGAATAAATTGGCAGGGACCTATTATAATTAGACTGAAAGGACATAGTAACTACAAACAGAAGTGGGAAAGGACATAGTAACTACAAACAGAAGTAGAAAGGTTTAGGATGTGAAGACTGATTAATCTGATGTGGGGTGAGACAGAGAGGAGTTAAAGATGATACCTGATGTTCTCAGAAGGGCATTACCATTCCTTTCCATGCAAAGAGGCAGGACTTAGACATTTGAGTTGGAGAGGTCTTCAAGATACAGAAATAGAAATATTCTAGCTGACAGCTAGATAAGAGTGTAGAGAAGTCTGGCTTAAGGAAAGAGGTTTGCATAGGTGTGTTTTCTGTTTGCATTATTTTCCCATCCTTTAAACAATCTACTTCCTGATTCTATGGTTTATATTAGAAAAAATACCTGGTGTTTTCCAAAGACTTCAAAGAATAGTAAATATAGAACGTGTGGTTTAGTTTTTTTCTTTGTTGGCTAGTTGCTAATCTTGATGGTGAGCAGTTGTAGAACTGTAAGATATCTTTATTAAAACCCATCTATTAAATGAAAAGTATTCAAATTATGGATATTTATTTTTTATATACTCTAGGTTTTGTCTAAGATTTTTAAAATGGAATAGTATTTGGCCATTTGTATTTGAGGGTCTCCTCTTATATGTGGTTCTCATTTGTTGAATCTGTTGGATTTAAGAATATTTATCTCTTAGTCCTCACAGATAAATGAGAGTAACATCTGTTATTCTTATTTCATGGATATGGTTAGATACAAAGAAATTTACTTCTTTGCCACAGTTTACAAAGTAAGGAGAATATTTGAACACAGATTGGTCCAAATATGATCTCTATAACTTTAACTTTTAGATTGTAAGTTGTCTCTGGAGACAATAAAAAACAAACAAACTCAAACTCCTCTCAATCTCTTCCTTTCACATACATAAATGTGCTTGAGAGTAGAAGTTAAACACTCTCTTGGTGTGTAATACTTTAACATTTTTTAAATGCTTGGTATAGCATGTTGGGTTCTTTCTGAATAACAAAGTTGGAGTGGTAGCACAGCCTAACAGTTGTGACATGTGTGGTTAAAGAGCCATCTCAGAAATCTGCAGATGTGCTGGGTTCTACATTCAGAACATTACACCTTCTGGGAGACCTGATGTTCCCCCAACTACAAAAGCTCCTGTTGTATAGTGTTTAGAGAAGTAAGAATCTGTTACAATGGTTAAGCTCTTTTTGCTTTGTAATAGAGAACTTCCTATATTGGACCCTGGATTGATGAAGTCAGAGGTCTGTGCTTCTTTGTCAAAAGGTAAAATTTGACACTTTCAGAATAAGCAGCATTTAAGTATCTTTTTATATCTCCATTTAAGCGTAGTCAAAATGAATTCATTAGAATATGAAGCTTTTCATTTAGAATCCACTTACCATATGTTTTAGAATTTGTCAAGTTTTCTGAGTTTTAACTCATTGATAGACCAGATTTTGAGATTTTCCATTTAGTTATTTGATATATGACTTGTATGCTTTATTTAAAAACATAGGTGACTGACCTCAGCAATTTTTGCAGTTTTATTTTGAAATTGAAATGTGTATTTCAACTTTATCACATTTTAAATCTGAGTTATTAAAAATTATAATTAACAGTTAATCATAAACTTAAATATCTGAGTTTTTACAGAATTATAACTTACTGTGAAAGTTTTGACTTTCAGGTTTTAATTTTAAATAGTTGGACAAAAGAAATATTCTTAAATGTCTTCCTGCCAATTCTTTTTATACCATATAGTACAGTTATTTTAGTAGTGGGGAGGGGATTACTATATAATTTGCTAAAAATTCTACTTCATGTTTGTCACATTGGCCTTGAGAACCTTCAGATGCTAAGTCGTTTTCTAGAAGTCTTTGAATAACCTGCTTGTTTTGTTTAAAGTCTCTTTGGTTGAATGTTGTCTTTTCAGCAAATGAGATAAAACATGATTCCAAAAGTGCAAACATTTCCTTAGGAGAAGCAGCTAATGAGACTGCTGAAAATGAAAAATTGGGAGAACTCAGTGATCAAATCAAAGGTTCAGACATGGATGAAAAGGTACTACAGAATCTTTTGCATTTTCTTATTTCTTGATCTTAAATAGTCGTAGTCTTTAACAGTGCAGTCAGGTAACAAGTATAACTTCTTTTTATTGAATAAAAAGGTATGTATCTCATACAAGCAGTTTCTCTTGTCTGGGGAAAAATAGGATGTCCTATGTAATTATATATTTAGAGTTCAGTGTTTTGAACTTTTTCGCAAACCTACATAAATCTAAATAAAATGTTACATATTTGCCAGCCTCATTAAACATGAAGTAGTGAGTATTGCTTGAAAGTTTTGAATATCATAATTCCTGAGGGCCATGAATGTAAGCATCAGTTATTCAACACAGATATAAAGGCCATATAAGTTGAAACTAAACCTAACTTGATGTTGGAACACACCTCTGATATACGATATGGGGAAAATTGTGGATGGCAAGTTTTTTCTTTAGGTTTCCTGCTGGATAATGTATATGATTATCTGAACCTTTTTTGTAATTAATTGACTCCTAAGCAACTGTTTCATACTTTCTTCTTTTCCCCTCACACCTTCCTCATTCATCATCACAATTTCTTTCCTACTTCACCAATAAAATTGAAGAAATTGAAAAAGAACATCATAAGTTCCCACCAGTACGTTAGGCTACCTACCTGCATCTCTTCCAGATCTCCAGCTTCTCTTCTAACACAGTGTATGAACTAGCCAAGTGTAGTTCCCTCCATCTTTGCTAGATTCCATCTCTTCTCTCTTAAAACACTACTCCACAGTTCTCCCTTCACTACCAAGTCATTCTCAGCAACATATGAACATGCTTTTCTGCCATCTTTAAACAAAACAAAAAAGCCTTTTTGGTCCATTGCCCTTTTCAGCTATTTCCCAGTCTGTCAGAAGGCCTGTCTATACTCAGCTCTAGTTTCTTCCTGCCAGTTCTCTAAGGAGAGCTTAGTACAAGTATTAACCTTCATACCTTCACTAGAGCTACCCTACTTAAACTTTCTGTTGATACCCTTATTGCTGAATTTAATGGGCATCCCTCAGTCGTAATCTTAACCTATCACCAGCATTTGACAGTTGACTGCTCTTCCTTGAAACTTTTTTCACTTGCCTTCCAGAATTAACATACTTGCCAGTTTGTTTTTTCACTTCTCTATCTGCCACTTCTTAATTTGTTTTTCTGGTTTCTCCTGATCTCCCTAACTTATGCATGTTGGAGTAGCCCAGAGGCCAAACTATGAATCAGTTCTTTTTTTCTATCTAGATTTTCTCCCTAGATGTTTTTATCCAACTTCATTGTATTAAATGCTACCTATATGGTAAGACTTTATGTATTTAGCCCAAACTCCTATGAATGGCAGACCTTTTTGTCTAGTTGCCTACTTGCTTTTCCCACTTGGATGTCTAGTTAGACATTTTAAACCTACAACATTAAAAACTGAACTCGAGCTATACATCCCCTCCTCTCTCACAAACCAGTTCCTTCTATAACCTCTTTTCTGTTAATGGCAACTCTATACTTTCTAAATACCCAGGCTCAAAACCTTAGATTTCCTTAGTTTCTTTTTTTCCTCACTCCATATTCAGACTGTAAGAAAACCTTCTGGCTGGCTTATCTTCACATGATGTCTAGAAAGTGCTTATTTTTTATTACCCCTTCAACACTACACAGATCTAGACCAGTGTCATCTCTTGCTCAAGCTTTTACAGTAGGCTCCTAACATATCTGCTTCTCATCTTCCCTCTTATAATTTATTATCAACGTAACGTAAGTTTGATCATGTCATTCATCTGCTTCAGAACCCTCTAAAGGCTTCTAATGTCATTCATAGTCAAAGCCAAAGTCCTTACTATGACCTATAAGGCCCTGTGCCTGTACTCTGAAAAAAACCCTTCCCAACCTCATTACCTCTATGATATTTGTGACTTTTCCATTTAGTTCTGATCATTCTAGCCTAGAGCAAGCTCTTCTTGAAACTTCTTCAGACTTTGTCCACTTCAAGGCCTTTGCCCTTGCCATTTTATCTGCCTCCAATGTTCCTACCCTAGAAAATGATATAGCTGGCTCTCTTACTTCCTTCAGGTCTTACTCAGTGTTCTCAGGAAGACTTTTCCTGGCAGTGACTAATACTGAATAGTGACACAAGTAATTGAATGAATGGAGAATATGAACCTCATTGATAATAATCTATAAATGGTACAAGTGTTCTGTAACAAGATAAAAAACTGTTTTTGCTTAGTAGTTTGATTACAGGTAACACATACTGAACCTTTATGCCAGCCAGCCACTGTAGCATAACACTTTGCATAGGTTATCACATTTTATCCCTGTAAGATAATGTGGTGGTGTTTGAGGGTCCCCAAGATCTCTCAGGTTCAGTGACGTGCCAGAAGAACTCAGAGGTCAACAAAGCTGTTACATTATGATTATGTTTATCACAGATGAAAGTGCAGATTAAAATCAGCAAAGGAAGAGACATATAGGGTAGAATACAGAAAGTGCAGGTGCTGGCTTCTAGTTGTCCTCTCCTAGTGGAGTCTTGCAGATAGTATTTACTTCTCCCAGAAACCACATGTGGCAACACACATGGAGAATTGCTAGTCAGGGATGCTCACTTGAGCCCCAGTGTTCAAGTTTTTATTGGAATAAGCCAGAAAAAGAGGCTGATCTCAGTCATTCTGACTCTAATCTGACCAGAGATCTAACTGACACCAACCACACAGCTCAGGGCCCCACCAATAAATCATTGTTAGCATAGATTTATCTGTCATGGCCCCAGACCCCCAAATAAAGACATACTCATCAGGTAGGAGAGTTCAAGGGATTGCTAGGATGTATGAACCATACATCCACCCCAGGTTTTTGTGTGTACCTAAGTTTTTATTTCTGAGATAAATAGACTGTAATTTGCTGAACTATCTAGTAGTTGCATTCTTAGGTTTTAACTTGCTTCCTACTCCCCTGCATTAGGAAGCAGTCAAAATCTGCGTTCAGTTCTTTTAGTCTTAGAACTGTTCAGAATCTCCCTTACATAGGTGTAGTTCAGGGACCAGCCAGATTAGAGTCAAGTTTATGATTAGGTTTGGGGGCTTCATCTCATAGGCTCTCTCTTTTCCAGCATTCCTGATCTCGCTTTCCAATTTCTTCTTGGCAAATGTCTCTAGTCCCACCTAAAAAAAACGTTTTTCTTTTACTACTTCTAGAACTATTTTTATATTCTTAAATCTTTAATGAACCTAAAAGGTGTTTTACTTATGGCAAGTTGGGGTCACACTTATTTTCTATTCAATTAGCTTCCATTTATTGAATCATTTCCTCAAAGGTTTCAAATGCCATCTGTATTTAAGATCTTCACATTTTTATGTATAGAACTATTCCTTTATTTTGTTTCATTAACTGCAGAGTGCATGCACAAGTAGCATCCTGTCAATTATTTGAAAAATAAAAATAGGGAGAATTGCTTTAAAATATACAAAGACGTATTATAAACCTAAAATATTTGTTTTCCTGTACATATTCTTCTAAGAGCATCTGAAACTCACATTGTAAAATAGTTTAATATTTTCATCCAGGAAGAGGGATGATCTTTCAATTTGGTGTTTTGTTTTGTGGCAAAGGGGATCAAACCCAAGGCCTCATGAATGCTACACATGTACTGTGCCACTGAGCTAAACCCCCAGTACTTTCCATTTGTTAATGTTTGCTATTTCTCTGTTGATTTTTGTAGTTTTCTAAGAGCTCTGTTAATATACAATGTGATATCACTATTGTAAAATATGGGCAAATACTCTTAAAAAGACCGGAAAGATACAAACTAATATATTGAGTGGTTATCTCTGACCACTGGACTGACAGGTGATTTGGGGCTTTACTTTCTTGATGCTTGTGTTTTCAAAAGTGTAATGTTTGAGCATGTAATGTATAACCTCTTTTGTGTATGATAAAGATCGAACCACAGCCTTGCTTATGCTGAATGTGCTGTGCTACTGGGCTGCACTCCTAGACCACACTTCCCAGAAAGCTACTTGTGAAATGTTTTATATAGTGTAGCTGTGATTAAAAACGCATTTAAATATTTCTAATAAGAAGCCAAGTGCTGATGGTGCATTCCTGTATTCCTAGCTACTTGGGAGGTTGAAATCAGGATTGCGGTTCAAAGCTAACCCAGGCAAATAGTTTGTGACACCCCCCCATCTCCAAAAATAACCAGAGCAAAATGATCTGGAGGTTTATCTTGAGTGGGAAACCCTTAGTTCAAATCCCAGTCCCACACACAAAAAATTTCTAATAAAAAATTTATGTTCATAAATACTGCCTAAAAGTAAAAATCATTCAGAGCTTTTTTCTGCATAAAAAGAAATAACTTTAAATGCCCATAACAAATTGAAATAGTGGCTTGTATAATTAAAAGATATGAAAAGCTGGAAAATACTAATTTATATTAATTTTTCTCTTCAGCAGTAGAAATTCTTAAGTCAGTATTCAGATTTTAATTATATAGAGGAGGACTGTTTTAGGGTTGACCATAATCTAATTGTTTACTTAACATCTAATACATTCTGATAAATCTGTAAAACTCATAGTTAAATATGTAATACAGAGACACTTCTATCTTCTTAACCATAATCTCTTCACAGTGTAGAACTTCAGACAAGGCAACTATTAAAGAAGAAAAAGAAAACAATTGCGAAGTTTTCAAAAGGTCCGTAACATAATTTCTAACATAACTTTAATATAGGGCTGGCGGAGTGGCTCAAATGATAGAGTGCCTACCTAGCAAGTGTGAGGCCCTGAGTTCAAACCCCACTGCTGCCAAAAACAAAACAAAACAAACAAAAAACCTAATTTTAATATAGTCACTTATATAATTTGTATTGAGTGTATTTTTCATTCTTTGTCATATACTTCGCCTACTATGCCATAGGCCATAAATGGGTATGATTTAATTAATGTCTCAGATGTATCCAGGTGTAAAGGGTATCATAAGTTATTTTAAAGCTATCAATAAGTTTTTTGAGCCATTAAAATATTTTTGAGGAAAGATAAGGAGTAGTGAAGAAATGAAATAAAAAAAGAATGTATGTAACTTTTATGACAGAGAGACTGAAGTCAAATGAACATTGCATTTAGCAAGAGTTTTACATGGATGCAGTGATTCATGCTGAGACAGTGTACTCACTAGAACATAAAACTGTGTTAGTGACCACCTGGTCCATTCTCCACCCTCATCTTGCAACTGCAGCAAGGCATATCTAGGCCAGAGGATGAGTGTGTTCAAGTTATTCAGGTTCAGGCAGTGATTTCAAAGTGCAGATCCTCAGAGCAGCAGAAGCATGGGACTTATCAGCAATGGAATTGCTGGGTCTCACCCCAGACCTACTAAACCAGAAACTTGACATGAGGCCCATCAGTTTGTGTTCAACTAGAGCTCACCCCGATTCATGCTCAAGTGTGAGGAGAGGGCAGGTAAGAACTAGATGGAATAGAAGGCTAACTTTGGTTTCTAATGAAAGCATTTTGCTTGCAAACCAAAATAGTATCATTGCAACTTTCCAAGGTTTATGGTCAGATTGGCTCTGCCACAGTGACATCAATGTGACATTGGTCAAGTCACTACATCACTTTGGGCTTCAGTCATCCAATAAAAAAATAAAAGGGTTTTCTAGATAATTTCTTCTAATCTATAAAATTCCATAATTTCTATTTGTTTTAAATTGCTGCTTTTGTGACATATTCTTGGGGGAGAGTTTGATCACATATTTCAATGATATCCCAAGTCATGTAAAATTTTTCAATTCTATTAATGCTACTAAATTTAAACTGTTATAAGTACAAGCACCACTTCTTAATTGTTTTTAATTCTATGGCCCAGAAAACTTCCCGTGAAAAATCTTATTATTTTTTAAATTAAAAGATTATGATATCTGAGTGTTGGTATCCTTCTCCCAAGAAGTAAATTCATTTGTATCTATTATTCCTTGTTGCTTGAGTTATTTATTTTTTTAGATAAGTAACCACCAGATTGATTTTTCTAACAGAATTGGTTATATAGGATGTTGCATAGTAGGATGCAGTTAAAGCTTTTTACATCAGCAACCCTGGAACAATAACATTTGCAATGCCTCCTCTCCAGAGGAAGCTCTCAATGACTTATACAGGTTTATTATGTATACTTATCCTGGAAAATAGCATCTAAAGTAATCCCTCTTTATGCGCAAGGCATACAGTCCAAGATACCTCAGTGGATGCCTGACACTGCAGATAGTACCAAACCCCCTATATAGCATGCTTTTTCCCTGTACTTACATACCTACAGTAAAGTTTAATTTTTAATTTAGGCACAGTAAAAGATTAACAGTAACTAGTAATAGAAAATTATAACAGTATACTGTAATAAAAGTTATACGGGTGAGTACAGTTACTAGACTCCTCACATTTTTGTGATGTGAGGTAATAAATTGCCTATGTGAAGACCTAAAGAGAGGCAAATGGCAGGAAGGCATTGTGATGTAGTGGTAGGCTATTTGCTAAGGGCTACTCAAATAGGAGCAGGATAATACCATGAAAGTTGATCTGCTACCACTGCTTCTAAGTGACCAATATGTGACTAGCCTATGCCAGAGGGATACCAAATCTTTGCTCACATAGCAAAGATTTTAGAAATGCAGAAATTGAGGTTGGTTAATGTCAGTTAGCATCACTGGGCCCCAGACAAAGGGATAATTCACATCCCATGTAGGATGGAGCAGGCCAGGGGGAGATTTTATCACACTTTACAGAACAGCCTGCAATTTAAAACTTAAGAATTATTTCTGTGGGGGCAATGTAAATAATGTACAATACAAGTCTAATTGGAATTGTCGCTATGAATCCCCCCCATATAATGAATATATTCTAAAAAAATTATAATAAGGAAAAAATTTCTGGAATTTTCCATTTAATATTTTCAGACCAGATGAAACTGGTAACTGAAATTATAGAGTACAAAACTGTGGATAAGGGAGGGCTACTGCAATTCATTTCTTTGATTGCACTGTCAGTAGAATGGATGATTTTCTCTGGATTAGAATGCTAGCCTTGTTCCTCCTCATACTGTTTGTCTGGATGATCAAAAATATTTTGAGCCAGGTACAGTAGTGTGTGCCTGTAGTCCCAGCTACTCAGGAGATTGAGTAGGAGGCTGGCTTTGAACATAGGAGTTTAAGGCCAGTCTGAGTAACATAGCAAGATAAAAAATTGTTTTTGCTCTAGTTTTTGTCTGTTTTTTTTTAAACAAGGTCTTGCTATGTAGCCCAGGCTGACCTCCAACTCAAGATCTTCCTGCATCAGCCTCCTGAGTGCTGGGATTGCTCTAGTTTAATTATACTGCCCCATTCCTATCCCTATCCCCAACTATTAAACAGGTACTGCTCTTCCATTAAGATGGGACACCCTATTGAAAATATGAAGTATATAATATAGTATATGACATATACATAGCATTAGGTTGTGTTTCTACTTTATTCTCATTACTTTAATATTCTAAAATATTGTAATTTTTATTTTAAAACAGTATTTCAAAAAATTAAATTTTGATTTCGTTTTTTTCTGCTCACATAGCAAAGATTATAAAAATGCAGAAATTGAGGTTGGTGAATGTCAGTTAGTATCAGTGGGCCCCAGACCTCTGTGCTTGCCATTGCCTCCTTTGAATCGAAGTGGTCATCAGGAAGACACAGTACCAAAGCCCTGGATGAATGGTAATACTTGTTTTCTTAGTAAGATCCTATTGGCTTTTAGTTATATAGAAACTATAAGAAGATATTTCCACTAAAAACAAAAAAGGTATAAAAAAAATAGAAACAAGTGTGGAATATGTTAAAATTAGATTGTTTAGCTTTCCTTAGTTCTTTTGAGGGTACAATTTCTGAACTATCTGTATTTTTGTGATAGTGGTATTACCAGAAATATCTAAAATACTCATATTTTAATTGATTGTATATGTTTAGGATGTGTGTCAGTTTTTTTCATAATTCATAATGCTCTGGGCAAAAAGAGCTCCACTGGAGAATAAATTTAAGAACTATAAAATCTCTGTGTCTAGTGTTTAATTCTGTGCTTCTTTGTACTGACTTCATGCTGCCTGGTATTGTGTACTCTGCAGAATGACCATGATGGTCATGTGTTTAATCTTAGAAAGTCTTAGCCTGCACAATTCAAATCACTGTAAAGCTATACAGCCAATTTTCAACTTGTTTCACATTATATCTGGATGCTATTGAGATAAAACATATAAAGCAGTTTTAATTTTATATTTAGAAAAGAATGTTTCTAAATGCCCAAATTCTCATTTTAAAAGACCACCATAAGGAATATGATGTTTGGTGACTTAATCAGCTTGTGCTGCAGTAGCAAGTACCACAGGCTGAGCAGGTTCTCAGGGTTCTGGAGGGTAGAAGTCCAAGATCAAGGTTCTACCAAGTTCAGTTTCTGATGAGGGAAGCCACCTTTTTGCTAGATTCACCTATCCATTTCTCTGTGTATACAAAGAGAATGGGAGCTCTTTGCGGAGGGAGGGGGTTGTTTCTTCAGTACTAAGTTTAAACTCAGGGCCTTGTACTAACTAGATGGGCACTCTACTACCTAAGCCACACCACAGCTGTTTTATTTGGTTATTTTTGAGATAGAGTCTTGCATTTATGTGCCTGGGATGGCCTGGACCATGATCCTCCCGTTCACACTTCCAGCATAGCTGGAATCATAGGCATGAACCACTGTACTTAGCTTTGGTGTCTGTTCTTATAAGGGCCCCACCCTTAGAACTTCATTCTGCCTTGGCTAGGAACATGGCTCAAGTGGTAGATTGCCTGCCTAGCAAGCCTGAGGCCCTGAGTTCAAATCTTGGTATTGCCAAAAACCCCAAAAATTCTGTTTAGCCTTTATTATGTCTGAAGACCCTACATCCAAATACAGTCACAATTGAAATATAGGAGTACAATCTGTGAGTGTTTCAGGGGACTCATGAGGACCCAATTGAGTCCTCAACACCTGGGTTTGTCAGTATTCTTCCTTTAGAAGGGTTTATGTGTAGTGTTTGTTTAAGTTAGATTCACATCATTTGAATGCAGTGCTCAATGCTACTACAAGAGGCTTTTTGGCAAGTTACCTGCCAAACTTAAAAATTTTAAATTTAGTCTAGAAACGATTAAAGGTACTCAAGATATATATCATTCTCTAACACACATGGCAACAGTGTGCAAATTGAATATGAATATTCCAAAATGAAACTTGAAAACAGATACCAGTGACTATTTCATCATTATATGGAAAATAAGTAGTAACATTGGTGTGTAATGCCATTCTAAATCATTTCTAGATTTCAGATTTCCGGGAAGACATTCTGTCTTACAGCTGCAGAATCCTGAAACTTGTGAAATATTTAAAAGAGAAAAAAATATAGGGGTAAGTCCTCTACTTTAAAAAATAATAACCTGAGCTGCACTTGGTGGCACACACCTGTAATCCCAGCTACTTGGGAGATGGAGTGAGGAGGATCTCAAGTTTGAGGCCAGCCCAGGTAGTTAGGGATACCCTAGCTCAAAAACTTCCTATGACTTACAACCCATACTTTGGATCCTTTCGGTTGTATTTCCCTACCATCATTTTTAAAGCAGTTTGACATGCAGGTTTTGAATGAGGGTTACTGACTGGACATAGAAAATAAAGTGTCAGAGGATGTTCACAAATAATGTAAGGGAGTCAAAGCAGAAAAGGAGGAACATCCAAAGCAGAAAGTATAGGATGAGTAATTCCCTGTGAAAGAGAAGGCTGGCAATACAAAGCAGCTTATGGGAAATTTTGTTGTGCAAAGCTTCACTGTACCATTTGCCTTTTCCTATTAATCACAAAAGCTAAGGAGAATTTCAATAAATGAATTCACCTGGAATGTGCATATTAAAATAGAATTAGCTTTTTGTGAAAGTGGCGGCAAATGCAGGAAAGAGGAACTGTATAGGCTTTTAAAGACAGGCGAAGGGAGTCTGGGATAGTTCTATAATTTCCCCCTTAGTTTTAGTGTAAGCCTAAAACTGCACTAAGTTCTCAAAAATATGAAGTAATAACTTTGATGGAATGTTTTCCACTAAAAATTAAGAAAATTCAAACAAATCACTCTAAATTGGTTTTTATTTTTTAAAGTGTACATTATTTAGAGTTTTATTTTTCCCTAGCAAATTAGTAAGCAATTCATCTTGAGACTCTTCAGAATATATAATATTTTTGTTGCTTTGGCGGTTGGGTCTGTAGCTCATGGTAGCGTATATGCTTAGCATGTATGAAACTTTAGGTCTGAGCCGTGGCACCACAAAAAATACATACAGAAACATAATCTGTTTCAAATGGTTTCTCAGTTGACTGTGTTTTACAATTAACATAGAAAGGGAATTTTTCTAATTTTCTAGGTGTTCCAGAAGCCCCTAGGGTTGATGATTCCCCATAGATATTGCAAATTTCATTTTAATACATTACGCGGCTGTGAGCGATCACAATGCAAGTTTGCTCATGTGCCTGAGCAAGGGGACGAAAAGGTAAAACCTCTAATCTTAAAGTATGGATTGTTTTGCTATCTCAGTCATGCATTTTAATTTAGATTTTCATTTTCATCCAATAGCATAGATAAGCTTTGCCTGGTTTTGTGCTTTATATAAATGGAATCATACAACATGCATCATTTTGTATGTGGCTCACTTTTCATTCTTCTTTTAGTGCACAGGTTCTTGCTATGTCTTCTAGGCTGGTTTCAAACTGCTGGGCCCAAGTGATCCTCTGCCTTGGCCTCCTAAGTAGTTGGGGCTACAGGTGCATGCCACCACACCCAGCTTGCCTATTTTTGAGATCCATCTATATATTTCCATGTAATTTTCTATGTTTCTTCTTACTGTATAATAGTTAATAATCCATTCTGCGTGTTTATCAAAATTAATTTATGGATAAATATTGCTATTGGTGGGCATTTGGGTGGTTTACGTATATGGATGTTAAAATAGTGATACTCTCATTTTTTTCATGTCATTTGGTGAACACATCAATAGTTTATACTTAAAACTAGAACTGTTGGGCTCTAGGGTGTGCATATGTTCAAATCTTAATAGATGCTGAACAAGTTTCCAAAGAGGTTGTAGCACTTTGTTCTCACCAGCAGTGTCTTAAAGAGTTCTGGTTACATCACATCCTTACCAGCTGCAAGAGCTGGTATGGTCAGTGTTTTAATTTTACCATTCTGATGAATGGGTAACAATGCCTTCTCTGATTGATAAAGCTGAGAATATTTCAAATGTTTATTGGACATTTGGATATGCTGTTTTTGGAAATACTTAGATGTTATGCCTATGTTCTATGAGTTTATCTCTTCCTAACCAATCCACAAAAGCTCAGGATACAGGTTCTTTGTGGCAAATATCTTTTACTACTTTCTAAGTTTCCTTTTCATCCTCTTAAAGACGACTTTTGAGTAACAGAATTTCTTAATTTTTATAGTACAGTTTGTCAGTTATCTTCTTTTGTGGTGCTAATTTTTACATTCTATTGAAAATACCTTTGCCAAGAATATGTGCTCTTACATTTTTCCTTTTAAAAGTTTATTGTCTTACCTTTTGCATTCTGAGCTCTAATCCAGCGGTAGTTGATTTTGTTTGATACGAGAAGAGGGTCAAGATACATTCTCCCCATGTGGACTTCCACGTGACCCAGCAACCATTTATGAAAAGACCATTCTTTCCCAACTGCACTGCATTTTCGCATTGTAAATCAGCTGACAGTGGATGTATGGGTCTCCTTCTGCACTTTCTGTTCTAATAATCAATCAATGTGTTTATCCTCACACCAGTAAATGGTTACTTTTAAAACAAACGTAATGAAGTTTTTGTTATACATTCGGTATACCTTTCAAACCTGTGAGTTAACTGAATATCAACTTCTTTATCTCCATGCCTTAAGTTCATTTTAAAATTTTGAGATTAAAGGTAATTTAATATTTTTATGACTTTTATAGGTTTGCATGGATGTGTTTAAGAAATATATAAGTATCAATGAGCTGTGTTTGCTACAACGTGCAGGTATGAAACAACTGAGTGATTATTACAAGTTTATTAATATGGATATTTTCACAGTGTGCTATTGTTATGTCTTCTAGTTTGAAAATTTAATACTTCATAAGTATGAAAACTAAATGCCTTACTTAAGAGTGGCTCTGTTGGCCTTAGAAAGGATTAAAAATTAACATGGTATTTTGGTTAATAAAAAATTATCAACTCAACACTATAACTCTCTTATGTACTAATATTTTCTTGACCTAGAAATCTCATTTACATTTGTAAGATAGAGAAAGGCATTATTAGTTAGCCTTTAAGTTCATCTGAAGTGCTCCTTCAGAACCTGAATCTTCCCACTTCATCCTTCTCTTTTCACACTTGTCCCAGGTCACCAGGGCACCATCTCCAGTGAGTCCTGTGCAGTTCCCTCAACATGCCCAGCTGTGCTGTAATTCAGTGCTGCCCGTGCTCTGTCTGTCCCAGATGCCCTTTTTCCATCTCCTCACCCATGGCAAAGACCTGTTTAGCTTTCAAGGCTTACTCATAGCAAATAGGATTGCCTCCTTTATGAGGCCTTTATGTAATTCCACAGCCCTATCCCATTCTTTGCCTCCATCTCCCTGTACAAGGTTGTGAACCCCAAGAGGAAAAGAAGCAAGCTTTGTTTAAATTTGTCGCCTTACATAGCCATCAAAGCTACACAGTGTGGTGATAATCACACTGCACAGCTTCATATTCATCTGCTTGAAATCTCATTCAGATAAATACAAAGTCTTTGACAAGTTTATCATGTTGTTTTGCTGCTTATATCATCCCCCCATGGAGGATTAGAGGAAGCATCTAAGAGACTTTATCTTTAGCAAAGAAGTAGGTAAGGTAGAGGCAACAGGACCCTACATGGGAACACACTTGTGACCTGAGGTTCTGTAATGAGCCAAGGAGGAGAAGCTACATGTGGTAGATGTGGATGCATTTCTAAATTCTAGGAATAATTCCACAGCATGAGAACAAGAAGAAAAGAGAATGGCATGGAAAAGGTGCAAAACTCAAAATTGCAGATCCACTATGGCCAAAGGAGAAGTATCTGAGTTTAGTTTTTAAATAGTGAATATAGAAACCAAAAAATAAGAACCTATAACAAAATAAATATAGGAAGTTGTCAAGAAAGTGTGCAATTATTTGGTGTGAAAATAGATACTTAGATAACGGAATAGAATAGATAGCTCAGAATGACCACGTTACGTATAAAGGGTTTTAGTGTTTAGAAAGACCATTAGACTTGAGAAGAAAACCACTCAATAAATGTTAAGATAATTGGGTAACAACCTAGAAACAGAAGCTGTGAATACCATCTGCCTAAAGTGTGGATCTAGGCTCAGGTTTTATGAAGGAGAGGCCTAGGGGACCATTTTGGTACACAAGGGGAGATAGTTGAATGGGTTGGACTTCCCCCCCAGTTAACCATAGGTCTTTATCTGTTTTATATTTGAATTCCCACATAAAATTGTTTGTAGAAGTCCTTTTTATTTCTAGCTTTTTACTTAGAAATATTTTTAAATATATAAAAAGTTACAAAAATAATACAAAGAATACTCATATATCCTTACTTTGTCATTTGTACTTATTGTGTGCTGTCCTCCCCACCCACTCTGTGTGTGTGTGTGTGCATGTGTGTGTGTGTGCGCATGCATGTGCGCATAATGCAATGACCACTTAAAGGTAAGTTGCATGAATCATGGCCCTTTACTCCTAAGTACTTCAATGTGTATTTTCTTAAAGAATAGGATATCCCTGTTTGTAATTTTGTCTAGTCTATTTGCCATCACATTTTGTCCATTGATTCTGTAATATCCTTTCCCTCTCTCTTAGACTCTTAGATTTAGTCCAGGATCAAGTATTCATTCCTTATCTCTTCAGCCTCTTTTACTCTGGAACATTTTCAGTCTTTGTGTGTGTGTGTGTGTGTGTGATAAAATATGCATAACATTTATTTTAAGCATTTTTAAGTATACAGTTCATTGGCGTTAAATGCCTTCATGGTAATATGTAACCATCACTACCGTCTATTTCCAAAACTTTTTCATTTCAGACAAACTCTACCCATTAGCCAATAACCCTTCATTGTGTCCACCCTCCCAACTCCCTAATAACCTCTAGTTGAATAGACTTTGTCTGTTCTAGGTACGTCAAATAAGTAAAGTCATACAATATTTGTTCTTCTACGTTGGCTTCTTTCATAATGTTCATCCATGTGTTAGAATTTCCTTCTTCTTTAAGGCTGAATAATATTTCATTGTATGTGTTTGCCACATGTTTATCTGTTCATCTGTTGATGAATGTTACCTTTTGGCTGTTGTGATTAATGTTGCCCTGAACCTTGATGTCTAAGCATCTGTGTGAGTCCTCCTCTCAGTTCTTTTGGGTATGTACATTGGCCATCTTTTCATCTTTTATATTTGAATTTCCACATAAAATTTCCAGAAGTTTTATGACTAAAGCATTTGAAAAAACTCCTATTTAGCATAAATCAAAATGAATAAATACAATAACAATTCAGTAGGAAAAAAACTAAGATTTTTTGAAAAGTCATAATTTCTGTGATTTAAAGTAATCAAAGGAAATAAAAGATATAAACTTGATCATATAAATTTAAACTGAAAAAGGCTATTAGAATGTTTTAAATTTACCATTGATATATACAGAAGTATTCTGATTTATGAGAACACTAGTTCATTCATTCAGCTGTTTACAAAGGCATGAATATTGTTTCCTCTTGTGAGAATTAGAAACCAGATCTGGGGAGGAAAATCCAGTGGTTACTGGTCCACCAGAATCTTGAGCTCCTAATCAAAGAAAGGAGTAAAATTACCCGATTCTGGTAAGTCATTGGTCAAGTATCAATTGTCTGAATTGACAAAACTTTTTAAAAAGCAATGTAGCAGTTCATATCAAAGCTATTAAGTGTTCAAACCTTTCTTACCCAACAGTCTCACAGGGAGAATCATTTTAAAAGGAGAATTTATATTACAAATTTTAAGTAATGACAAGAAAAAGGAGGATTGCATGGCAAGGAGTGGAGAGTTTACATGCACTAACAGATTCTTTCCAGCTTCTCTTTTTTAAACACTGCAGGTCCAGTTTTATTAATGAAATTTATAGTAGCAGACCCTCTGTATTTTGCATGCTATCAGTTGATCTGCTTCTACATAAGCAACTATGTAAACACTGCAAAAAAATAGCAAGAACTTATCTGTGCCTAAGGAAAATAAATGCAGAAAACAAAGCACCTTTGTAACAAAGTTGAATATTATTACACCATATTATTGAAGTTTTTTAAAATTATTGTAATGTTAACATTAACTTTTTTTATTTTGTGATACTGCGTTTGAACTTGGAGCCTCATACTTGCTAAGCAAGCCATTTAAGCCTCCAATTCTTCTGCTTCAGTTGTTCAGCTAGGGTATCATGTTAACTTTGTGCATGTAGACTTGGACCACAGTCCTCCTACCTGTCCCTTCCAAGTAGTGAGATTATGGGTGTGCGCTACCATACCTGGCTTATTTTTGAGATTGGTCTTCCTAACTTTTGCCCAAGCTGGCCTCCATCCACAGTCCTCCTATCTCTGCCTACCAAATAGCTGGGATTACAGGAGGGTATCACCAGGCACAACTTTAAATTTTTAGTTGTGTTACTGAACTTTGTCATTAGCTGCTGACTTTTACAAGCAATAGCAGGTAATCCAGCTAGTAGTAAGTATTTCTAGTAGAAATAATTAGCACAAAAATAAAACCAAAAGTAATTTTTACTTAGCAATTTCAGCTAAGGTGTACAAATTTTGATCTAGGGAACTTTGATACTGGAAAAGAATCGGTGAAATGATCTCAATTTTAATAAAATTAATGGGAAAATTGGACATAGTTTAAATGTAGTATAAAAATAGATTACGGAATTGGATGGACATGAAGACACTGCTTTATCAAGGGAAAGTAATCAGCATTGTTGTCATTTGTAGTAGAACGTCCATTATCATAACCGGAATCCAAAACATCCTGAAGGTAAACCTGTTGGTGGGGTTAAAACAACAGGAATGAGTAAGTGCAAAATAGTATGCATCCACTACCCATCACACAACTTCCTGCATGCCCAGGCCACACACAAGCCTCCGGACATCCTGGGAGCTTGGAACTGTGATGCATTGTCATTTTGTTTTTGTTTTGTTTTTTGTGGATAGTACATGAGTTACCTTCCAGTCTAATGGCTGAACTTGCTTTGTTGACTTCAAATGTTATTGCCATTTTGACTTGTGCTTTCATTTTCATCAAATATTGCTGATACTGATCAAATACTTTTGATATTTCTGGTAGCTTTCAAAAAAGAATTTATACTATGTCTTTATAGACAATCATCCAACTTAAGAATGATGGATATCTTAAAAGCAGCAAATGACTATATTTTTTCACTTGCAGTAAGCATATTTATGGAGTACTACAGAAAATTTCCTCCGGGTGTATACTTTGAATTACAAGTGCTAAATGACCTTCTAATTTCTTTACTCGAGCGTTGTTTATTGAAAGAAGTATTTCAGGTGGTAAACATCAGCATAATGTGTAAAATGCTGGTAAGTAACCTAAAATATATTTAATATTTTAAGCTAATTTCTTTGTTGTATTTGTTTTTAAAGTTAACAGTTAAATTTCTGTATTTGTTGAATACTTCCTAGAGAACATGTGTTTTTCAGCATAACTGAATTTGAGAAACTTAAGGTATACTAAAAGAAGACATAAAAATGAGTGTAATTTTTTTGTTTTATCCAGCCTGCTCTGAATATAATACTAAAAATATTTGAGTATGTGGCAACTATGAAATTAAGGAATGCCGTACCTGCTTTAATTGATGTTTTTTGCAAGGTATGATTTTGTCTTTTATTCTCTAATACTTAAAAACCAAAAAAAAATGATTATTTCCACATTATCCTTGATCTGCCTTTTATTTATATTCTGGATGTCAAAAAATTCTATTTTCAGAAATGTTTTTTTCTCCTCAAATAGTTTGTAAACAGACTCCAGGGGCTGGACAAACCTTCCCCTTAAATGAATAGTTGCAAGCACTTAGGGGACTGCTTTCCAACTTGTAAACTGCCTTCATCTCTGTTCCTGAAGTATGACTAAAGAAAATTCTTTCTCCAAAAGATTTGAGATCATGTTCAACAAAAATAAACAAATCATCTGGGCACTGGTGGTTCACACCTATAATCCTAGCTACTCAGGAGGCAGAGATCAGGAGAATCAAGTTTCAAGACCAGCCTGGGCAAATAGTTCACAAGACCCTATTTCAGAAAAACCCATCACAAAAAAAGGGCTGGTGGTTTGGATCTATGTGTAGGCCCCAAGTTCAAGCCCCAGAATAAATAAAAATAAATCAATGTATAAATAGAAAATTTTGACTAAAACAAAATGGAGAGAAACATGAAAGCACTAAACAAAAAGAGAAGTAAGAATTTTTAATGCTTTCAAAAATAAAATTTAAAATTTTGTTGAATATATTCCTAAAATGTGGTACTCCACCAGCCATCCACTTCAGAATAAGCCCCATGGTAGGAAAACCCCCAATTTGCTTTTGGAAACTCTGTAACCACCCTAGCAGGTAAACATTTTAGTATACACCTCTTGTTCCACATTGTAAAACTTGACAGAATTTCTTGCCTAGAAATTTTTTCTAATCAGAAGTTAGTAATCTATAGTAGTTGTAGAAAGCCTCAGTAAAGATCCCATTAATTGTCTGATACTGAATAACCTGGTTTTCTACAAAGCGTATCCTACTTATATCCAAATAAGGGTCCCCTTAATGGAAATAGCTAGCAAAGACAACAGTTTTTGCATGGCTCCATGATAGCCATGCATGTCTAAAAGTTGTAATGCCAGTACCAACTTAGCTATAGAGACTGTTTCAGCGTTCAGTGATGATAAAGCCACATTATCATCATGGAGAAAGGTTCTTTTCCTCCTTACTTCAGCAGTTTGTTGTACCTCCATCTAATTGGCATTTATGAGGGTACATCTTCTCAATGAGAAGATGTCACTGAGAAGAGAAACTCAGAACTAATTTTTTATGGGTTGTTACCTAGTTTGTCAAAACATAATTTATGTTTACACTGGTTTGCCAGCAGTGTTAAAGGTCAGATTTTTAAGCATATCAGTAACTATTCATTTGCTATTTCATGAACTGGTTTGAGTGTCCCTGTCCATTAAGTCAGAAGGCACTGCATGCTCAGTAAAGCAGACAGACCAGCAGGAGTCTCTCACATGTTACAGAGCCTAAAGAATCATGGCACTTACCACATTTCCTCATAAGGTAGTAGGCTACTAGGTTTAGGAGAAGAACAGTTTTTCTTTTTTAAAATAAAATTGAACATTTTTTGAGTCCAGAGGAGTTAAGATACACAGTTTAAGGATTTGAGCCTACTCTTTAGAACAGACTTTACGTAGTTATTTTTACAAAGCTTTTCACTAAAACTAGTCTCAATTGAGGTTTAATCATATGACTTATAGTGGAGTTTCTAGGACCCACTCATAAGGTGCCACCAAATTTGAGGCAGTTTTTCCTGAGAGTCTGAAGAGAAGGAAAAATCTCCCAGCAGCATTTTACTACTAGCCTTCACTACAGGAAATTGTCTCATCAATTTTAAGTTGTAACAACCAAATGACAACATCTCACTTAGACATTTATTATACTTGATACTTAAGTAATTTATACATAAGTTAGATTTTCTGAAAAACAGAATACAATCATAGATTGTTAGCAAAAATGTTGCTCACAGAATTTCCAACACTGTTGAACTGGATTCTATTGAAAATGACACCTCATTCCCAGGGTAGCTTTAGAGGACCTAGTTAGAACACCTTTGGACAGAGGTCAGCATAAACTGCTCATCAATAGCCATGCCTTGGAAGAGCTGTCAGAAAAGATCTGCCTCTCATTCATCCATTCTTACACTGAAGCATCCAGATGCTCCTGCTCACTCTCTCCATTAGAGCCAAGGTGCGTGAAGAAGGCAGGAAATGAGGCACATGTGAATTAAGGAGAAAAACATTTTTTTGTTGTTGTTGTTAAAGTCAAATACTATATTATAATACAGTGGGCAGTCAGTCACCTAACCCATTAATTTAACAAGTAATTATTTTTTCCTCTGACCAAAGCCCAGGGTGAGGCATAAGACTAATACTTCTCAGGAAGCTTACAATCAGATGAGGTACAGATGCCAGTGCTATACTAAAAGACACATGGAGTACCAAGTAAGAGGTACAGGTGACAAAGTGGTTGAAATAACTTCGAGAATGGGAAGAAAATTCAGTTTTTAGAATCAAAATTATTATTTTCACTTTTACTTTAAATTTTTAAGCTAGGGAGTCTTTTGTAGTTCTCAATCATTTGAGGAAAATACACTTGAAAATTTTAAATGAGTTTTAATTCCACCTGCTTCCATGTTTCACTTATTTCATCTAACTTGGTTATTTTACACACATTGGCTTCTTGATTCTTTAACATTTTTATGAGAATGACTACTTTTTTTCTCTTCTACAGTTAGTTGAAGCTGGGATAATGCTTGAGCCAGAACACTTTAACTATATTGTTACACTTTTATACCAAGCACAGGCTTCCAAACAAGAAATGACTGCAGTTCTGGAAATTAAATCCAGGTGAGAGAAATCATTAAAATTAAGGCTAAAGTAGTGTATAGTTTAGTGGGGACCTAGAAAGGATGGATGCAAAGTACTTTTAGCTGTTCATGCTTGCCATCTTTCAGCTGTGTCCTACCATACATAGTCAGGCTGCCTCTGTTCAACCTCAACACATTTTTCTCAGTACCACATTTCACCTCAGTGTCCAGCACACTGAATGCAAAAAGAGTCTGCTTTCTATTTTACTACTATTTAATCCCACTTAATGCACTCTCTTATACAAATTACCTTAACGCTCTTTTCTCTTTCACTGACTTCCTATCCTGTTAGCTTAATAAAATGCCTTAATGCCTCTTCCTATTTCTCTATTCAGCTATGGGCTTTCAAAGCCACCCCCCCCCCTTTTTTTTTTAAATCTCTAATAACTCTTACAGTATCACTATAGGGCTGGGGATGTAGCTCAGTGGTAGAGCACTTGCCTAGCATGCATCAAGGCCCTAGGTTCAATCCCCAGCAATGCAAAAAAAAAAGTAGTACAATAATATACCTGTATTGAGAAAAAGGAAAACCATGACTCTTAAAATCTCATCGAAGTAAAATGTACATAGGGAAAAGTATACAAATTAAAAGTGTTTAAATTAATCAGAACTTTTAAAATTAAATTTGATAAAGAACAAATGGTATCAGATATTAAAGTCCTTCAGAATTCCCAGAAGTCTTCAACAGAGAGCTTCCATGGCTATTTTTATGTCATTTATCTTTATGTTTTAGTGCAGAGGTTCCCAAACTTTCTTAGTTCAGAGTCCCTAGGCCAAAAGAAATACATTAGCAATCCTATGTGTTAAGTATTGAGGTCCAAACAAGGTAATAGTAGCATTTGTTCAGTGCCTGACAATGTAACTTGAAAATTTTAAAGAATCTGTCGTGCCCTGTGGGTTTGCCGTCGTGCCCTGGATGCTCATGCAGTTGAAGAAGTGCACCTCTAGGTAATAGTGCACCCCTTCAACCACAGCATTTATGTTAATTTGAGCTCTTCCAATTCTATTATTTTTACTTAACTACTGATAATTAACATTTGTTTCTGCGAAAACTATCACAATAATTCTTAGGGAACTACTTAGGAAGTAATTTTTTGAGAAAAATGCGGTTTATATAGCATACAGTTCTGGGATACAATCTGTTTGTAAGTAGAGTGCATCAAGATTTTCTTCCAAACACTGAGTTTATCCTTTCTTTCCCTGGACTATATGCTAAAATTTTTCCCCCCACTTTGGGCAGTGGAAGCCATGGCAGAGAGCTCAAGTGTCTAGCAGATGATAGTCTTCCTGCCAAAGTCAGTAGCAGTTTAATACAGGGCAAGTATGATTGTCAGTGCTCAAGAAAACAGCAGCATCCTCATGCCCAGGCAGTTGCAGAATGCCACCCTCATTCAGTGATTGGGAGTAGGGTCTGTTGGTGTAGGACAACTCCAGGAGAACCCAGTTGTAACTTTCAAATTTCCATGGTAACAGAACCGTATAGCTATTCTTAAGTTTGTTTCACAGCCCCTGATTTTGAAAATTGTATCTTTATACTCTGCCCTTGTGCTCCCACTTCAAAACAACTATATAGTATATTTTAAGATATATTAGTATTGGTGACCTATTTGATGAAATAGAGCAAAAAATAACTGACTAGTTAAAGAATATGGATTATGGTTGGGCATGTGGACAATACCCCAAGGCAAATGAGGGGGGCGGGGAAGAAAGTAGTATATATCTTATATTTGAATTTTCCAAATCTCTTTGACATGACCTTTTCTGGGCTAGGGAAATGAGTTTTAATGGACATTCATACTTTGACTTTTGTTACATTTTTAATAGGTTACTTTATAGTTCATTTGAAAAACTTTATAGTACATATGTCTGACACAAAGAATTTCAGCATTTTGTATTCAGGGCAGTATTGAGAATGTAAGTGTGCCTATAATCTAGGAAACTTACTAATATATTATTCAGTGATTGTTTTAAAACGTGACATTTAAGTATCTATAAGAATGACACAATGTAAAATGGAGAAAGTGTTTGTGGGTGGGAATCAGCTGGAGAGGAGAGGGTGAAGGAGACGTTGATGTGATTGAAGTACTTATACGCATGTATGAAAATGGAATAATGTAACCCATCAAAATTGTTTTAAAAGGGAGGGAGATAAAAATAATAGAGGGAGTGAATTTGATCAAAGTACATTATATGCATGTATGGAAAATCACAATGAAACCCCTTTGTATAATTAATATATGCTAATAAAAATAAGTATATATGAGAGCTTAAATCTGGCATTTTACTGTTTGTTTATTTCCTGTTACCCTTTCCTTGTCTTGGGATTATGTGAACATTTTTTAGAATGTTGTTTTTACTTTACTGAATAAACTGTTATAACTGAATAAAAATAAAAATTAAACATAATTTTGGTGATACAGTAAAAGCAGTCCTAAAAGGGTGATCTGTAGCCAAGAGCAAAACAAACTCAAAATAAACCTAAGAAATAAAATAATAAATAGTAATCGATGAAGCTGAAAACAAAAGGAATAAAACCAATAAAGCTTGGTGTGGTGGTTGATGCCTGTAATGCCAGTTACTCCAGAGGCAGAAGAATCTCAAGTTCAAGACCAGCGTGGGCAAAAAGTGAGACCCTATCAAAAAAACAAAAGGGCTGGGGTATGACTCAAGTGATAGAGCACTTGCCTAGCATGTGCAGGCTCCTGATTTCAATCCTTACCTACTGTAAAAGAAAAAAATTGATGAAACAAAAAGCTGTTTCTTTGTAAAGATCAGTAAAACTGATAAACCTCTAGACTAAGATAAAAAGAGCAGGCATTAATCATAACTATCAGGAATAAAACAGGATATTCGTAAAGATCCTTCAGCAATTAAAAGGGTTCTAAGGGATTGCTTTGAGTAACTTGACAAACTCAGCAACGAACATGAAGTAGAGCATTTTCTAGATCACGTGAATTAGTCCTAACTATTGAAGAAATTGAATCCATAATTTCTGAAAAAGCCTTCCTCAAGGACCACATAATTCCACCAGTTATTTTAAATCATTGTGAATTTACACTATCTTCTGGAAAACAGGAAAGGAAATACCAGCATAGTTTGAGCCTAGTATCACCCAAGTGTTGAAAACAAGACTATAAACGAATCTCTTGTACGCTTAGATGTAAAATAGGAATAAAGGACAAAGGATTTAACATAAAGAAATCTGTAAGAAATATATAGCAAACATCACACTACATGAAAGACTGACGGGTTTTCTTCTAGGATTGAGAACAAGACAAGGATATCTTCCTGTGCCTCTGTTATTCAACATAGTATTGAAAAGCCTAGCCAGCATAACTCAAGAAATGGAAACAAAAGGCATACAAATTAGAAAAAAAAGAAAAAAACCACATATACTGGTGGCATATATTTTCTACATACATGGCAAGGAATCTACCAAAAATAGTCCAAGCTTGCAGAAGAAAGATCAACACAAAATCAGTCATGTTTCTATGTACTAGGAATGAAAATGTAAAGCAAGCACCATTTATGATGGCTCAAAAAGGTGAAATATCTAGGTAAAAATCTAACAACACACATCCAACTTGTATACTGGACATTACAAAATACTGATGAGAGAAACCAAGAGAGATTAAATAAATGGAGGGACCTACTATTATGAATTGGAAGGTTATATATGATGAAGACATCAGTTTTTCCTAAACCTACCCTTTAGTTTAATGCAATTCCTTTCAAAATCCTAGCAAGATTTTTTTTGTAGGTATAAAAATGTTTATTCTAGCCAGGCATGTTGGTGCATTCTTGTCATCCCAGCACTTAGGAGCTGAGATCAACAGACCATGAGTTTGAGGCCAACCTGGGCTACATGGCAAAACCCTGTCTATAAAAACACTTATTCTAAAATTTATATGCAAAATTAAAACACTTCTAGTGCTAAAGCAAGTTTTGGAAAAGAGGAATAAAGTGAATATTCACTCAACTTGTTGTTAAACCTTACTATGTAACTAGAGTGGAGGGAGGGAAGAACGAGTTAGAAAATTGGACCATTCAAAGGCTGTGTTTACATCTTTGGTACCAACTGTCTGCTCTTGTTTTTTCCCCCTTTTACTGTTGGGCTGTTTGCTCTTTAAGCTGTAAGAGTTCATGATATATTACAAATATTAGGCCTTTGTAGTATATATATTGCAATTTTTTTCCAATTTGGTTATCTTTTGACTTTTGTAGTGGCAAAAACTACTGTTTTCATGCGACTTAATGCGCTAATCCTTTTATTGCCTCAGTTTTGAGATAAGGTTTGTTTCGGTTTTTTGTCTTGCTTTTTTTTTTTTTTAATTGCTTCTGGTTTTGAGACATAACTTCCCAACCCAGCATCTTAGGGAACTTAGCCACACTTTCTCTTCTACTTACATAATTCATTTTTACAGTTAGGTTTCTTATCTGCCTGGAGTTTATTCTTATATGTTGTGAGATACATATTTAATTTTATTATTTCTAAATGATTATGCAGCTTTCCCAGCAACATTTACTAAAAAGCCCATTTTTACTTCTTGTGATTTCACATGTCACCTTTATCATGTACTAAATTTCATATGTACCTGTGTACAGTGTTTCTGCACTTTTATATTTTATTCCTCTGGACTGTTTAGTCACTATTTCACTATACTTAATTATAAAGCTTTCAGTATTTGGTAGGGATAATCCTCTTCATAGTTTTTTGTTTTGTTTGGTTTGGTTTGGTATTTTCCCGGCTCTTCCTACATTTGTTTTTCCATGTATTTAGTGCCAACTTCTTAACTCCATATATAGTAGCCTATTGGTATTTTTCTTATAATCACATTAAATTTGTAAATTTTTGAAAATTGACATCTTTATAATGTGTCATCCTAGTCAAAAACAAGGAATGCCTTTATTTAGGTTTACTTTTGTGTCTTTCAGGAGTGTTTTATAATTTTCCTCACATAAGTAATTAGTTTTTTGGTACTGTTGCTACCCTTGTGTACTATTTTTTGACTGTTGATTTTTGTTTGTAAATATTATGTTTTGCTGTTTTACTCTGAAGTCATTACTGTTTGATTTAGTTTCATCCTGGAATCTGTGAGGTTTTCTAGGTATACTGTCATATAAACTGCAAATAGAGATGATTTTATTTCTTTACCATGTGCCTTTAAGTGGTTTGTCATGCTTGATTGCGTCAATTCATCCCTCTTGTACAAATTGAATAATAGTAGAGAAAGTGGACATTGCTTTGTTACTTATCTTAGTGGAAATGCCCCTAGATTTTTCCCATTAAATATGACACTGGCTTTAGGACTAAGGCATATATAACTAATCATTTTTAAGAAAGCATCCTCAGTCCATACATTCTTAAGTAGTTTTGTAACGAAATACTGGATTTTATCAGTCTTTTCAGTACCTGTGGAATTAGCCATGGTTTTTTCCTTAAATCTGTTAATACTGTATATGATACTGACAGGTTTTTTAAGGTTGAACTTTGATTGACTTCCTAAAATAACTGTGTGTACACCTTATATTAGGGATTGAACTCGGGCCTTGTGCTTGCACTCTACCACTTTAGGCCAGTGCTTTTGCTTTTAGTTTGTCTTTCAGATAGGGTGTCTTGCAGCTCTAACTTTGCCCAGGCTCCCCTCTAATCAAAGCTTTCCTCCTCTGCTTCCGCAGTAGCTGGGACCACAGGTTCTCACTGTCATGCCCAGCTTGTTTTTGAGATAGGGTCTCACTAACTTTTGCCCAAGCTAGCCTTGAACCTAGCTCTTCCTACCTCCACCTTCCAAGTAGCTGGGACCACAGGAATGCACCACTATCCCTGACTCATGGAGAGTAATTTTCTTACTGTGGTCTTGAAATCTGTTCATTAGTACTGAATTTCATTTTTGCATATTTGAATCATAAGTGATACTGGATTTTAATTTTCTTTTTTGTTCTATCTAATTTAGATACCAGTGCTATTCTTGCTTCATGAAAGGAATTTGGAAGTTGCCTTTCCTTCTTAATGCTGTAGAATAATTTATGGAGCATTGGGACTAATTAGCAAAATCAGCCCCATAGTTGAGTATTACACAGTACTCCTAGTTTAATGGCAGGCACCCTCTTCTTTCCTCTTTTCTGTCTTTTCCTCTTTACAGTTTCCAGAGGGCACTTCTTTTATTTTTGTCCTTTTTTTTTTTCTTACCCAAAAGCTATGCATTACAAAAAAAAAAAAAATGCCTCCTTTAAATCATACAACTTTTAAGTTCCTCCCTGTGGTCTATGTTCTGATCAACTCAGATCCTTTGTTTTTATTTTTAGCACTTTTAAACTTGGTATGGACTTTCTTTGTGTGTTTTTAATCAATATTAGGTCCTCCCAGTGGTTTCTCTCTTCACTTGCCCCCCTGGCTTTTTCTTTTTTCTTTTTTGTTTTGGTCTTTGTTTGCCACAGACCCTGTGAAGCAGTGAGGGTGAGATAGTTGCAGTTACTGATCATGTGTTGGGAGTTAGTCTTTTTTCTTTTTATTCACAATTATTTTGAAGTTTTAGCAGTCTCTGGCAAACTAAAGTTATGGCTCATGTGGAATTAGGTTTTCTGTCATTGCCTATGGTTGGAGAGGAGATAGTGTAAGGTAGATAGCTATATAATTACTTTTTTTCAGCTCTAAATAATTTTAGAGTATATTTTGCACATTCACTTTCTCAAGTTTGATGTACAAACAGGTCTCAGATGTAAAATATAAAACAATTAGCAATAGTGAATGTGGGGGTTAAAGATATGCATTACTAACCCTTTTCTGTCATTAAAGGTTACAAATGAGACAATTTAAAAAGAACTGGAAGTATGATTTAGATTCAGCCTTGAATGAAATAGAGGTATGACATTTATTTTTTAAATAACTTGATGGAATCTCTGAAAAATCACTAACAATGTTTGAATAATTCACTTTAAGTTTTAGAAATGGTCACTATAGAAAATGCTCAAGGAAAAGAAAGTTTGACAGTTTTTTTCTACAAGCTAATGTTTTGAAATGCATACATTTTAAATTTCTAGGTTTGTGGTCTGGGGATGAAGGTTAGTGGTAGATCACTTGCCTGCCGAGCATGAGGACCTGGGTTCAATCCCTGGCACCACAAGAAAAAAAAAATGGAAATCTAGGGTTGTGTATTATTTTTAAATTAATTCTGAAAATAATTGTTTACTTTCAGAATTAACTTATGTTAAGGTAAAATAATAATTCAAACTTGGTCTTTAATTCTGTGGCTGGGCAGACAGGCTCAGCTGTCTTTCTCTTCATAGATGCTGTTGTATGGGAAAGATAGGAAAATGCAGGCATTCAAAGTTAAGACACTGAGGCCTCTCAGGACAGTGTTGATTTTAAATTAATACCCATTTCAGATGCCTCTACTGTTGGTCTAATTTTAATTATTGTGTTTTATCCTTGAAACAACTTTTTGTTATAGAAAATTATTTATTTTGTAGTAGAAAATAGTTAAGAAGACAGTACGTTTGCTGAAATTTTCTCTGTAACCCATTTTGTAGAAATGTAAACTCCAAAATGATATGTGGGCTCCAAATCACAAATGGCCAAATAACAGTAAGATGCAATCTCTGAAAATAAGAAAATCACACATTGCTATAAAGACAGCTTGCTTCTGCTGATGATCAACTGTTTTTCATAAGTCTGGGGATGATGTCATTAAGTACTTTAAGAACTAGATAATTCAAACAAATGGTCATTGCTACTTGAAATTCCTAGAGACTTCTCTGTAGTCAAAAGAGTGAAGTTATAATAGTACGTTTTTAATGTCATGCTTGGCAGGAAGTTTATAACATTTCCTGAGTTATGTCCTATTGATTTCTGTATAGCTAATGCCTCCTTGTACCTGGCCTATAACATATGTTTCTATAAATAGACATAGTTTTCATTTTTTCTTTCTTTCTTTTTTTTTAAATACTTTTGATAGAATTATAAAGAAAAAGGTGACTGGACCAAATTGGGAAACCTGTACATTAATATAAAAATGGGCTGTGAAAAATTTGCAGATTTCCAAAGATTTTGTACTTGTATTGCTGAAACACTCACAAAAGACTATAAGGAAGAAAGACCAGGTGTTCCTTTTTGTGAATTTGCTGAAGCAGGTAAAATCTCACTACTTTGGTCTGAGTATTATGTGGTAGAAAGGTGCACTGTTCTAAGAGGAGTATAAAGCTCTTAGTATTTTCCATGCTAAGGATAAGTTAATCTTGTAGGTTTCAGATACTCCTTCTCTTTATGAGTTTTTCCATCTACTTATTGTTAAGTTATATTACAATTATATAAGGGCAAGAACTGGTTTTTAATATCAAATGTTCCATAGTCTTATTTTTCTTTTCATTTAGATTGGTTAAAAGTATTGCTAGCAAATTAGACCAGAGCACCTGAATTTTTGAATCACTGGAATTGTTACTGTCTTCACCATTGCAAGTCAACAAAATTTGTATAGCCTTGAGCATCCTGTACTACAGTCTTTATCAGGGGTCAACAAACTCTTTCTGTAGAAGGCCAGATAGTAAATATTTTAGGCTTTGCACACACCACATATGATCTCTCTCACATAGTTCTCTTTACTTTTTAAGTAGTTCTTTAAAAAATAAAAACAATTTTTCGCTCACAGGCTATACAGAAGAGGTCTAGACTAGATTGGGTCCATGGGCCATGGTTTTCAATACTTGGACTTTGTGGTAATATCAGTGATTCCATGTTAATTTGCCTTTTCCACCATTTTAAGGGACATATGTCATTTACTTCCATATGTCTGCTTTGTGTTTCAGTTAGCAAAGATCCACAAAATAGTGAAGTAGATAAAACTTTGCTGGGAAGAATCGGAATCAGTGCTATGTACTTCTATCACAAGCTGTTACAGTGGTCCAAGGTACATCATTAAATTTTTGTTTTGATTTGGTATAGAGAATATGAGTTTATAAATTGTGATAGTTAAATATAGGTTACCCCTGAAAATCAGGAATTGTCTAATAATAATTACAGGCAACAGAATGGGACCTAGACTATTCCATGAATTATTAGATGGTGTTTGAAACACATTTTCCTGAATTATTTGATGGTATCTGAAAGGGAGTGCCATGAGACTGACTACTATTTAGAATCTCATTGTAGACAAGGCTTAAGAGGCTGTGCTAAAATGCCACATCTATTTGGAGCACTTCTCAGTTCATAATTTATTTTGCCAACTTCTGAGTATCATTAGCATTTTAATTTTGAAAGAGTTCCAGACACCTTTCTTAGAAATGAACTTGGGATGCTCAGAGTCAACAAAACTCTTTAAAGTTCACTTCTTGGAATGCTCTAGGACACAATAGCCCATGTATCTTGATGTCTAACTTTTGGAGGCTTCGCTGACTGTGGAAGTGGTCGAGTGATTCAAGATCATACTGTATTCCCATTCTTTAAATGTCCATGAGGTGAAAAGTGAGTTTCTGGCTCAGTAAAGGCCAGATAGCAGGCAGGAAAGTCCAAAACAGAGGGAGGTGCCAAGGGATAGAATTACAGGGACAGTGTCATAATTGAAAGTGTGCTGTCTATTAGATTAACTATTAAAGTATACATATATATCATATATACACATACATATATACATATATATAGTTGCTACTTTCTGTAAGGAGATCACTTCATAATTGGATATATTCAATAACATTTAAGTTCATGGTCACTGGTATACATACAAAATTCATGAATTTAAAAAATATTTTTTTAAAACCTAGACTGGTTGTACAGGTCTCCAGGCTCCAAGGTCTCCAGGAGATTCAGCACTTATGGTATGGTAGGTAGGTGGGAAAGACAAACCTTGCCACTGCTCATACAATCTGGCTTATGCTTGGTCATAGCATTCATTCCTTGGAGATTGAAGCATTATTGAACAAGAAGACCCTTTTCGAAGACTGAGACTTTCTGAAACTTTAGAATATATTCTAATTTTACTTGGTTATTTAAGTTATTAAGAGTTTGGCGAATTTTTGTCTATCTTAATTAAGATTTCTAATTATCTTATTTAGAAAGATTATTTTGCTCATCACCTTGTTTAGTATGATAGGATTCCTTTTTGTTTTGTTTTTGGTTTTTTGTGAGACTGGGTCTTGGTATGTAGTCCAAATTGCCCTCAAACTTGTTATTGTAGCCCAGGCTGGCCTCAAACTCATGATCTTCCTGACTCAAACTCTCCAGTGCTTAGAATTACAGACATGTGCCATCATGTCCAGCTCAACATATTTCTTTTTGAACATAAAGTAAAACTACTGAAATTAAGCTAAGAGTATCCCTTGAAATATACTCATTTGTACAAATTGAAAGTACTTTCACATCACAATCAGCATCTGACTCAAAATAGTATGAAATATAAAAACAAGGGTCTGTAAACTGAAGCCCATGGACCACACTGTTTCCATAGCTGACATTCTTAGCCCTCAAGCTAAAAAATATTTTTAACATTTTCCTGACTTTTTTTTTTTTTGGTGGTGCTAAGGATACATACTAAACAAGAACTTTACCACGGATTGACACCTCCAATCCCTTGTTTTTTATATTCCTAAAGAGTTAAACATTTTTAAAATTAGCCAAAAATAATGTGCAACAAACCAAATGTAGACTGTAAAGCTGAACATATTTACTATCTGGTTATTTACAGAATAAGTTTGCCAGCTCCTGGTTTAAAATAATTATAATATATATTCAATTTCTTGTCTGGACCAAATATTCATGTGGAGTATGTGAAAAGATTAGTTTATTGAATCAAAAAAATTTTTGATTCACTCCTGTAATCCCAGCACCCATGAGGCAGAGGTAGGAGAATCAAGAGTTTGAGGCCAACCTGGGCTACTTGCCAAGACCCTGTCTGAAAAAATCAACAACAAAAAACTATTTTCAGCCAACAATTTTACCTTTTTTTTCCCCACTAGCATTCTATCTAAATTTGATAACAGATTATCTTCGTTTTTTGCTATTTCTCCCTCTTGGATCTCAGATTGGACAACAAAAAAAAAAAGAAAAAACATATAATTGGTAGTTTTTCACATTGAAGCATGAAATTCTTTTGCCAAACAAAATCTAAAGGGGAAACACAGTGTGTAAAATAGATGAAAGGAGAACTGCTGACCAAGAGGGCCCAGTGCTGGTGCTGGGAGGGGATGGTCAGTATCAGGTAAAGTTCTTCCCCTTCCATCTTGATGACTGTCCAGGGTGGGGCTTGCAGGAAAGGGTGTTGGAAGAATTTGGCAACCATCCATCTAGGACAGTGATTCTAACTGGGTAATTGATTGCATAGCTGTCATTGACTTTGTGTCTCTCTCTAATTGATAATTAGTCTTCTTTATCTTTACTCTAGGGAAGAAAAGTCTTAGATAAATTATATGAGTTAAAAATACATTTTACAAGTTTAAAAGGACTTATAGGGCCTGAGAAATTAGCACCAAGATGTCAAATTGTGAACATTGCAGCAGAAATTTTTCTAAAAAGTGGAAGCCTGGATGGTGCCATTTGGGTATTGAGGGGTAAGTTCTGAAATATACAAGCATAAAATAATTTGCTAAACTTGTTATAAGTCCTTGTCTGTGTAATCACCTTAAGTTGGTACAGGACTGTGTAAAGTGGTCTAAACTCTTGTGAGCATGTGGGTAGGAAAAGTGGTTGTGGTGTAAACTGAAAAAGAAACTGAGCTGAGCTTTTATAAAAGAAATTGTATGAGTCTTGATTGATTAAAACCAGTTCTTGCTATGGCCTAAGTACCGTACTAAATGCTTTGCTTGGATTATCCCAATTAATCATCATAGATAACCCTGTACTTGGAACTATTGCAGTCCCAATTTTATAGGTTAAAAGTGTTGTCAGTGATATTAAGAACTCACCCAAAATGACATAACAAGTAGAGTGGAGGCCACATTCAAAGCCAGACAGTACAGCTTCAGGGCCCAGGCTTCATCTGCTGTGTAAAATCCTGATGGCTGCCTGCCTGAACTCTATCTGCACTTTAAACCAAGATGCTTTTTTTCCCTAGGACAACAATTCATGTAGCAGAAATTATAGTGAAATTAAGCCAGCAGAAGCAACTGTGTTTGGTATAAGATAGATGAAAATGTAGATCACAGTAATATCCCTACCTGGTAGGTAATGATAGCTCTGGCTATGATAAAGTAGGATAAGAATGAAGTCACCTCAAAAATCTGAGTTTAGATGGGAAGATAGACTATGTATGAGTAAAACAAATAGATAACTTTACCCTAACACACATATATTCACACACAAACATGTCCTAGCACTCATACATAATCATATATATGTATGAATATATATATAATCCATTGTATATGTTCAGTGCTGAGGGTTCATGAAATACAGAGATTGTGAGTAGACTGTGCAATCAAAAGCTTGTTGGAAGAGGTTTTCTTCAACTTAGCAAACCTAACCAGTAAAGCTTCCTAAAATGCAAAAATAGAAATTAGTGCAATGCAAGCCAAAGCTCACAGGCTCTGTGAAAGGAAGATATGTGGCCAGAAAGGGGAGGGGTAAACTAGTTGATAAAAATGGGCTTAGGTCATCTTGTGATAGGAAACTTGTCCCTAAACATCCTGGGAAAACTGTACTCTAACTAAAGATGGGAGAAGAGCTTGCGGGAGAGTGGAATGGTCTATGGAGATTGAAATTTTTTGATGTTTCAATTTTGAGATTATCTTTTTAATTCCATCAATTATAAACAGTGATAATTTCAATTGAAAGTAATTTTAATAAATACAATTTTGTTTCTTCAATATAAAGGCCCAAAGAAGTATGCTTGGTTATCCCTAGAATTTTTTTATTCTTAATAGGGTTCTACAGTGAGCAGACCATTCCCTTGAAAGGTAATACAGATAGCTCTATCTCACTTGCAGTAACTGAAGTTAATTAAGTTTTGTAATTCTAAAGCAATTAGATAACTATTGCAATTCAAAATTGTAATCCTCATTTATAATAGAAGTTAAAGTTATAAAATAACATTTCAAACTGTCGGAGATCAAAGTTGAGGGATTTTTTTGTGAGGTATGAAGAAATGGACTTTCACAAAGGAGTTTTCCTTAGAGACTTTTAGCAGAATACCTGTCAGAAGTTTAAAATGCAAATTTCCTTTCATTTATTAACTCTATTTCTATGAATTTGTCCTGCAAACACATTCAGATCTGTATGCAAGGTTATGCAGCTGGGCATGGTGACACCTGCCTGTGATTCCAGCACTTGACAGGCTGTGGCAGGAGGATTACAAGTTCAAGGCCAGATTGGGCCATACAAGACCTTGTTTCAAAAACTCAATAAATAAATACATGCATACTTATATACATACATACATGTATGCATTGTAAGTTATCTGGAATCATTTTTTTTTTTTGCAGTGCTAGGGTTTGAACTCAGGCACCTTGAGCCACTCCATCAGCCCTTTCTTGTTTTTTTTTTCCTTTGTTTGTTTTTATTTTCTTATTATTCATATGTGCATACAATGCTTAGGTCATTTCTCCCCCCTGCCCCCACCCCCTTCCCTTACCACCCACCCTACCTCCTCCCTCTCCCCCCCACCCCCTCGCGATACCCGGCAGAAACTATTTTGCCCCTATCTCTAATTTTGTTGAAGAGCGAATATAAGCAATAATAGGAAGGATCAAGGGTTTTTGCTAGTTGAGATAAGGATAGCTATACAGGGAGTTGACTCACATTGATTTCCTGTGCATGTGTGTTACCTTCTAGGTTAATTCTTTTTGATCTAACCTTTTCTCTAGTTCCTGGTGCCCTTCTCCTATTGGCCTCAGTTGCTTTTAAGGTATCTGCTTTAGTTTCTCTGCGTTGAGGGCAACAAATGCTAGCTAATTTTTTAGGTGTCTTACCTATCCTCATATCTCCCTTGTGTGCTCTCGCTTTTATCTTGTGATCAAAGTTCAATCCCCTTGTTGTGTTTGCCCTTGATCTAATGTCCGCATATGAGGGAGAACATACGATTTTTGGTCTTTCGGACCAGGCTGACCTCACTCAGAATGATATTCTCCAATTCCATCCATTTACCAGCGAATGATAACATTTCGTTCTTCTTCATGGCTGCATAAAATTCCATTGTGTATAGATACCACATTTCCTTGATCCTTTCATCAGAAGTGGGGCATCTTGGTTGTTTCCATAACTTGGCTATTGTGAATAGTGCCGCAATAAACATGGGTGTGCAGGTGCCTCTGGAGTAACCTGTGTCACAGTCTTTTGGGTATATCCCCAAGAGTGGTATTGCTGGATCAAATGGTAGATCAATGTTTAGCTTTTTAAGTAGCCTCCAAATTTTTTTCCAGAGTGGTTGTACTAGTTTACATTCCCACCAACAGTGTAAGAGGGTTCCTTTTTCCCCCGCATCCTCACCAACACCTGTTGCTGGTGGTGTGGCTAATGATTCAGCCCTTTTTTGTGATGGGTTTTTTCAAGACAGAGTCTCACAAACTGTTTGCCCAGACTGTCTTCCAACTGTGATCCTTCTGATCTCTGCCTCTTGAGTAGCTAGGATTACAGATGTGAACCACCAGTGCCCCGCAGTGATCTGGAATCTTTTGTTATGACAACAGTGATAACCAAGGATTCCAGATAGCTTAAATATCCACTGAGGGAGTATCAGTTAACTAAACTGCAATCACCATGTGGTAGAATAGGAAACAGGTCTGTAGACAGGCATTTCAGATGCTCTCCATGATCTGTTGCCAAGTGAAAAAAATAATGAGTAGAAAAGAATATGCTGCCATTTGTGTAAAATAATATTAAAGTGGATGTATACATATTAGCTTATATACTCGAAATATTTGTAGGAGGAAGCACAAGAAGCGAGTAACAGCAGTTGCTTCTAGGATGAGAAATTGAACGCATGGTAATAGGGATGGGAACCAGATTGGTTTAAGCAGATATTTTTCTGTTTTTTTCTCTAAAAAATATAGCTTTGTAAGCTACTTTTTTTAAAGATGAGAATGTATACAGAGCTGGAGGAGTGGCTCAAGTGGTAGAGCACCTCTCTAGCAAGCAAGCATAAGCCCTGAGTTCAAACTCCAGTACTGCCAAAAAATAAAATTTTTTTAAAAGATATATTCAAGATTGAGAAGTGAGGAATATTTTACGCACTTGGTTTTGTGTGTGGCAGTCTTTATGGTAAGTATTCTGTTGTTTTGACTTTTCACTTTGGCATTTCAGACTCTTTCTCAGCACTGGTACTTTCTATCCTGGCAAATGAGCAACAGATTTCTACCATTGCTTCTCCCAATGCAGGCATAAAATGAAGTTGTAAAGATGTAATTGTTCAATATAAAAGAAAAGACATAATTGTATAATTTTGGTTTGGAGGCTGAAAAATAAGTGCCTTAGTTCTCTAGAATGCAAATTCTATGAGAATGTTAAGCCACTTATTTGGACCTGGCTTTGAATTCTATGATGGCTTTCATTGCCTCTCTATCAGTATATATATTATTCTAGAGAACTATGAAAAGGTGGATAAGCAAAGAAGATGATAAAAATTCCTTAATCAGCCACTCAGAAATAACCACTACTACTTTAGTGCTATTGTAACAGACTCTTTTGTACCCTATTTGGGGGGGGGCAGTAGTCTTCTGTGAAAAAGGAGTATTCTTATATAACATTGTTTAATGGGCTGCTTGGTTTTTCATTGGACGAATGGATGGATCCAATTTTATTGAAGTAATTTATTTTTAAATTTCTGTTATAAACAATGATCCCTGCTAAACATCACTGCTTAATCTTCCTGTTTCCTTAAAATAAATTCTAAACTAGATGTGGTGACTCATTCTTATAATCCCAGCTATTTAAGAGGTAGAGATTGGGAAGATTGCAGTTTGAGGCCAGGATGGGAAAAAAATGAGAGCTCATCTCAACAGATAGATCGGGTGTGGTAGTGTACCTGTGTAATCCCAGTTACATGGGAGGGCGTAGGTAGGAGGGTCACAGTCTGAAGCCAACCCAGACAAAAAATGTGAGACCCTATCTGAAAAATATCCTAAAGCAAAAAGTACTAGAGGTATGGCTCAGGTGGGCAAGGCCCTGAGTTTAAACATTACCACAAAGAAAGAAGGAGAGGAGGAAAGGAAAAGATGAATTCTGATGGAAATGCTGTGGTAAAGGATAAGGGCATTTTAAGGCTCTTTGGTAAATGTCAGATTTACCCTTGTTGCCATTCTGATTTGCAGACCATTTGCTTCTGGTTTATCAGAAAGCTCCCCTTTGTGAGAAAATCCTAGAGAACTGTCCCTTAAGTACTGCTTCTATACAGACCTTCTCTTTGGGCTCACGTGTGTATTAAGAGTTTCTGCTGTGAGTTCCCAGTATTGTGGGATTCTATGATCAGACAGGCAGATAGGCGCATTCCAGTCCAAGTCTTACTTCTGGGTAGCATTCAAAAGTCCTCTACACTTGAGTATGGTTGTAGTAAGTCAGAGTGTGAGGCATCTGTGACGCCCTCTTGTCAACACTGACTAGTATTATGCTTCTTGTTCCT